AGGAAAAGAGCAAAATTCCCAGAAAAAATCTGAAATTTTGATTTTTGATAAGTTTTATCAAAAATATACCTTCAATTTTTTCATATTTTATATTACACTTGACATCAAAAAACAAGGAAATGTTAGAATTGACGACTGCATTACGCCCATTCCCTGTGACCCCAATGGTTTTTTTAATTTGGCCAGAAAAATGGATAATGAGAAGAATAATGAATCCAGTAATACAATTGAAAAGAACGCGAGACCTTGATGTATGCGGCTAAGAATAGTCGGCGTTGTCTCGGAAAAAATGTTTAAAGAGCAGTGTCTCTAGAAGGGCGTTGAAAGTTTAAAATTCAGGGGAAAAATCTGAAAATTCAGATTTTGAATTTTTTTCTATTCAAAAAATCCGTCATCCTAAACTAAAAAAGCGATAAAGTAGCAGAAAATTACAAAAAAAAATTTTAAAATACGCCTATTACACTTCCCACTAACATTTACTCCAAAACTTTCAAAAACCCCGCAGATTTAAAGACGTCATCATGACGGATTTTTTGGAAATTTCCAACAAATCATTTGACTTGGCAAGTTCAAATAACGTAATTTTAGATGGTAAGACACGATTGGTCGCTCATAAAAAGTTTTTAAAACGAGATTTTTTCATTTTCAAACCATTTTATCGCAGTGAATTCTGCATAACGCGATCTGAGATTTTGCGAGAATTCGTAGAAAAGTGTTGGCTTTGACTTTTGAAATTCAATTTATGCAAATTTTTGAAATTTAAAAAATTTTTAAATATTAAAATTTTTTTTTAAATTTCAAAAATTTGCATAATTCTGAATTGTAAAATTCAAATTTAACCCTCCAATAGCCCCATTCAAAAACTTCAAACTCGTATTCACACCACTACAACTACATATAACCACCACTTTACAACTCAAATTACTCCCACCTCTGTCCTCCCTTCTCAGCCTCTAATTACCATGGTGAATTTATATTGTTGACGCACAGCTTTTCATAGTCCGTCCGCTAATCCCCCTCCGGCCTATTTTTGGGGCGGCTGATTTCGAATTTTGGAATTAACAAAAGCCGCGAGAAATTTACCTCGCAATGACAATATTTTTGAGCCAAAAAAAGAAAGAGAAACGAATGCGGAGGCACCTGAGAGTTAACAATCTCCCTGAGGGGTTTGTTAATGCTACCCAGAAAAGCGGAAATTGATCGCTTTAATGCGGAAATTTTTTTTGCAAAAAAGGAAACAATTGGAAAAAAAATCTAAAAATAAATCAACTAAAAATAATTTTAAATCGCTTTTCAGCACCTTTGCAATAAATTTACATTTCTATTTAGGCTCTTCCGTCCGCACAGTGGAACAAAAAACTATTGGTTTTTTGCACCGTGCGGAAAACCGAGCCCTGTTTATTGCACAGTGCAATGACGTCACTAAATGACCTATTTTTGAAAATTGAAGCTACTGTAGTATCCTCTTTAGTCAAAAAAGATTTTTTTTTTAATCATTGCATAATCGCACAGTGCGACAAAGAAATGCCAATTCTTGCACGGTGCAAAGGAAAAAAGCTTTATTTTAGCACTGTGCAGAGAATATATTATTAGTGCCAAGTTTGAAAAATAATCACAATGAGCACTGTTACAAATGCCATGCTGTATTTTACCGGTTCGAATTGAGAGATATGAAAATTTAACTTTTTTTATTACCGCACTGTGCAATAATAAAAAAGCCATGTGTCGCACAGTGCAGTAGATTTTTTGTAGGAAAAATTTTAGGAAATAGTTTTAACTAGTCTCACAATATTATTTTTATTTTTCAGCTTCAATTTATCGCGCAGTGCAACATAATTTGAGATTTTTTGATCTTCACTGTGCAATGGAAAAAAGTTTTAGAAATGATAAAATACGCAGTTGAAAGCTATTGACACAGTTGCGAAATAAAATACTGAGGTAAAATACAATACCTTTTACAAAGCAATTACCTTCAAAATCGCAAAAAACATCCAAAATCACCTAAAATAAGGTCCCAATCCCAAATTCCTCCCCTTCCTAAATTTATCAACAAATTTTTCCTCACACCAAACAGAGAGTAAAGCGAAATACCGGCACACATAATCATAGTATTAAAAGTGGAGAGTAAATTTAGGCCGCCCAACATACGAATCTAATCCGTGCGGATTAACCGCCGGATTAGGCACAAAGTTGGGCCCGATTTCGATGGGACAGGATGTTGTGCACTCCGGCAGCCGGTCCAAAAAACCACAGGGATAAGGCTAAAAGTTCGGATATGGACTACAATTTAAAAAAGTTTATTTTTCTCTCTTGTGTGACATAACTTTGTGTGAAATTTAGTTAAAGGTCGTACTAATTGTAACATCATCCAGTGCACTTATAAAGGACCAAAAATTAATCCAAAGCAAAAGAAAGACTGCACAATGCAAAGTGCACTTTTTTTACCTGGAAGGGCTTCGTGGTGTCTAAGGCTGTCTGCGTTCATCGATCTTTAAAGACGAGAGAGTGCGAAAAATAAGGAGAGACGGTATGAGAAAACGTTTTTTCGATGATATGTTTGTCAGGTTGGCTTGGAAAAAGACTTTTTGAGGAAACTTTTATTCTATGTTCAAACAAGATATCAGTCTGTCGGGAAAATAATAAGCACAATGTCGTTGCGCCGATCGCGTTGCTGAAGTGAAAAAATTGATTTTGCCGCCACGACACAATTCATTTTCTCGGCGGCGATGCGACTTTGGATGTGACCAGGTACTCATTATTTTCCAAACAGCCTGATCAGATCTTGTTGGAAGCATAGAATAAAAACTTTCCACAAAAACTCAATTTTTTCCAAGCCAACCTGACAGAAGTATCACCGAAAAAAACAAGTTTTCTCTTACTGTTTCTCCTCATTTTTCGCACTCTCTCGTTTTTAAATATTAATGAATACAGACATGGCCTTGGGCACCACGAAGCCCGTCCAGGCAAAAAAAGGTGATCTGTGCAATCTTTCTTGTGCTTTTTTGGCTTAATTTTTGGCCTTTTATAAGTGCACTGGATAATGTTACAATTCGTACGACCTTTTACTAAATTTCATACAAAATTATGTCACAAAAGAGAGAAAAATCAAGTTTTTAAATAATAATCCATATCCAGGCTTTTAGCTTTATCCCTGTAGTTTTTTGGACCGATTGCCGGAGTGCACAACATCCTGTCCCATCGAAATCGGGCCCAACTTTGTGACAGATATGGTCTTGGGCACCACGAGGCCCGGCCCGATAAAAAAGGTGCACTTTGCACTGTGCAAAATCGCGCACGAAATCTCCAACCACGGCGAGCCGTCGCAAAGCGATGATGGACGAATTCAACGCGCGACAGATCCACATTATTTCCCCGACAGACTTATAGCGTAATTCCAGCGACTTCGACTGAAAGCACAGTCCCAACAAAGGGACATTGGGCTCGATTATGCCCTCCGTTTCGAACCTAAATGACCCCATTTTTGGGCCATAAAAATTTCTCAGAGACATCCGGCGAATGTCATTTTCAAAGCCCCGCTAAATAAGACTGACAATTTTTGTTTATGGACATGGTAATTCAAGGAATTTTTGATACAATAAAGAAAAAAACACGTAAATTCAATTATTAAACGGAAGTTCATATTTATTGTCCGAATAAATAAAGAAAAATTGATTTTTGGTTGGAAAAACAAAAATTTATGGCAAAAAAATTAAAAAAAATTTTTTTTTTGCAAATTTTCGGGTATAATTACCCAATTTTTTCTTGAAAAAATCGATTTTTGAACAAAAATTTTCAAATTGAAAATCAAAAAAGATTTTTTTTTTGTAAAATACGGTAAAAACTCCATGAAAACATTTCTTGCCCCAAAAACACACCCGCCTAAACCCATTTCCCAGCGTGAAACCGAATTATTCGAGAGGAAAAAGCTCTAATTAATTTACCTAATCTCGGCCCCAAGGCCATGCTCACAAGAGTGGCAGGGGCCGAGTTTTGAAACGTGCGAAACTCTTAGGGAATTTACAATGGATGGGAAAAATGTGTTGAGACATTGACGTGGAGTCCATTTTTGGATGGTTTGCACTTTCTCAGCAGGATTTATAATCAAAAACAAGTCGAAAAAACAAAAAAATTTTTAAAAAATGGGATAATCCAAGAAAATTTTTTTTTCAAAACATCTTAAAATCTGGTTAGAAAAGCCCTCTACATTTTATTTTTACATTTTTTTTTTATTTTTTATATCAATTTATACTCGCACTGTGCGGAAAATAGAAAAAAAAGTCCTCTGCACAGTGCAAGAAAAAACCACGAATTTTGACGCATTTCGCGGAGCAATTTTTTCAAATTTTCATATTAATACACTGTCTAGTCCATGTATCAATTCCTCAAAATTTCAGCTTTTTCTCAGCACCAATAGCCTAGATATTCAACCATCTTTTTCGGACGAGAGAACATGCAAAATGAGGAGTCGACCAGAGAAAAACTTTTTTTTCTTTATCTTTTCCAATTTTGCGTAGAAAAAAACCCATTTTTTCACTGTTAAATTTACTCCCTCTTCTAATCAAACGCCGATTTTTTATCGGAAAAAAATTGAAAAAAAAATTTTAATTTTCAAAATTTTTCCGGCAGAAAATCACCAAAATTTTCGCAAATCGCCAGCAAAAAATCTCACAAAATCAGCCACTTACCACCTGATATTTTTCACTTTTCATCATCAAAACATTTTAGTTATATACTTTCAAACTTTTTCAGACCACCCAAAATTAAGGGAAAGTTCTTGTTTTTTGGCATTTCTCTGCCAATAAACATCTTTTTTCCACAGGAAATAACAGGCATTCAAATTTCTAGTAACTCTCCTTCCATGACGCACATTCTGCTTCAATTTAGCCAACTTTTTTTGGGGTTTTGACATCACCTCATGTACAATATAAAAACAATTTATAAACTTTTCCAAACTTAAATTAACGTTCAACAAAGCGGGCAACAAGCGCTCGGACTTCCGTTCACTTCTTTTCCAGGCGACAAATCGGGTTTTTATAGACCATATTCAGGTCAATTTTGTGGCCGAACAGCTCTCGGATGTTCGAGATGCCATACCTGATCATTGTGGGCCGTTCCAGCGACAATCCAAAGCCGGCGACATTCACATCCGGCGGTAGGCCCATGGGGAGGAGCATTTCTGGGCGGAAGAGGCCCGAGTTCCCGATTTCGACCCATTTTTTGAGACCCTCGTGATACGCGTAGATCTCCATTGAGGGCTCGGTGTAGGGGTTGTAGGTGTGTTTGAAGCGGAGATTTTCGATTCCTGAAGGATAATGTTTAAGAATGAAACTTTTGAAAAGGTTTAAAGCCGAAAAAAAATCAATTTTGAATTTTTTTTATATTATCCATGACAAAAACTGTTCTAAAAACCAAAAATTTTTGGCCAACCCAGAGTAAAAATTACTCTACAGCACTTTCGGCGGCTCATTCTCTCAAATAAAGACAATATTTCAAGTTTTCCTTCAAAGAATTATATTATCCATGGCAAAAACTGATCTAATATCTCAAAATTTTTGGCCAACCCAGAGTAAAAATACTCTACAGCGCTCTAGACGGCGCATTCTCTCAATTAAAAGCAATATTTCAAGTTTTCCTTCCAAAAATTATATTATCCATGACAAAAATTGCTCTAAAACCTGAAAATTTCCAATCAACTCATAGCAAAATTCACTCTAACCCTCTATTTACACCATCTTCTCTCTATTAACACTATTATTTCCCACTTTTGACCCAAAATTTATATTATCCATGACCAAAAAATATCCAAAACTTACCGCATTTCCTGAAGAATTCCGTGAACAGTCCAATAACATGAGCCAAAGACAAGTTCCTTTCCGCTACGACTCCCTCAACTTGATGGAATTCCGCCAAATGCGTGGCATCCAAAGTTTCGTTCCTGAAGACTCGATCAATACTGAAAAACTTGGACGGTTTGAATCCTTCTTGGGCCAATTTGTAGAGGGTGCGTGCCGAGACGGCGGTGGTGTGGGTTCGCAATACATTTTTCTCGGCTTCTTCGATCTTCCAGTCATATTTGTAGCCGATGGAGCCGTATCCGCCTTCCGAATGGACTTTTTTCACGCGTTCCAGGTAGTCCTCAGGGAATTGGGTGCTCTTTTCGGGGTCTGAAAAGCACAATTATAACCACAAAACTAAGTTTCAAATGGAAATTAAGAAAAAAAAAATTGTTGCACAGTGCAGACCCAAAAATTTGCGATTGCACTGTGCGAAGCAAAAAAATTTTTCGACTGCACAGTGCGGAAGACCCAAAAAATTTTCTACTGCACAGTGCGGACCCAAAATTACCACAACAGCGCTGAGAAAAATTTGAAACAAAACACGAAAAATCTTTTAAAAAATACTATAGAGATAATTCATACCGTATTTTACCATTTTGCAACCAACAATTTTTCGCACAGTGCAAAAAAATACTCCCTAAAATTAAAAAAATCGAATATCTCAGCCCTCAATTCCAAATAAATTACTAAAAATTTCAGCAACTAATCTCCGTCCCATCTAGGCTCACTATTAAAAATTTCACAAAAATTGGAGGCAAATTTTTTTAAAAATCTCATTTTCAAATTTCAAAGTTCTTTCTCAAAATTCAATTTTTATCATACCCTTGAGGAAAAAGGTGTCGTGAGCATCTCGAGCGGGATGCATTTGTGGCTGGAAGAGGGCGTCAAAGTTCCAGAACGAGCTCTCCACATATCTATTCGTCTCCATTTCCGTGAATCCCATTTGGAAAAAGATTTCTCTGAATTCCGAGCGCACCTTCAACAAGGGATGAAGATGTCCGGCAGGTGGTGGGACTCCCAGGGCTTCAAAGTTGTACTTTTTGAAGGTTTTATCCTTCCACGAGCCTGTGGCCAACATCTCGGCGGTGATGTCAACTTCTGGTTTTTCGAGGGTGGTAGTGAAAGCTGAGCCTTTGGACACAACCAGAGCCTTTATAACACTGAAACAGGGATTAACAGTCAATATGGACTATATTAAACTCGATTAACAACAAAACTTTGACATTCGATATCTAAAGTAATATCAGAAAATTTTTACTATTGATTCCAAATGTCTCTACACCATCTAAAATATCACTGAAAGAAATATCTTAGGCTAAAATGGCCTTGAACACCAATATAAACACAGATTTCGCCATGAACAATATAACCTCACCTTTCACTAACCAATTTCCGTTTCTTCAGTTGATCCAAAACGGCTTGAGCAAGTTCCTCATTCTTTTTCAGGGCCAACAAAGCCTCTCTCACTTCGTCTTTAACATCCTCCACCTTCCTCACCAACTTTGGAGGAGTTGCCGATTTATCCAAGGCAATCCATTTATTGGCCAAGGCTTTGGACATTCCAATCTTTCCGAATGAAAGATCCTACAAGTATACAGCTTAAACTATCAACTTCTTCTTGCATCTTGGCCTAAACACAGAACAATAATAAAAATTATATTACACTTACCACAATTTGTTTCTGTGGAACTCCATCGGCTCCAATCGCTTGAAAGACGCGGAATTCGTGAGATCCTTGTTCAGCAATCTCTTTTCCTTCTCCTGATAATGCAAATTGTTTGATTTGACGGTCCTTCGTGTCAATCAGCTGAAATTATATTACACTAGATGTTGACGATGAAATTTGAGAAATTTTTAATCTACATCAAAGTAAATCGTCACAAAAAGCAGTGCAAATAACTTTTCCAGTCCAGAAAATCATCGAAAACACCTAAAAACCAAGAAAAATTTAAAAATCTTACGTTTTCATGAGATAACAACGATTTGACGGCTCCAATAATCTTATTATGGTCCACACTCAATTCCTCCGCCAATTTAGAGGTATCGAACTCTCCCACTTTATCCAGCACACTGAGTAAGTGCTCTGGAAGATTTTCGGTAGCAGTCGCACCATTGGACACCGTCATTTTCGGCGAGTTTTCCACCAATTTCTTCGGTTTTGAACTAAAGCAATATAAATTAATAAAGCACGCACTCATTGGGGTTAATTCAGAACAAAGCGAACAAAATACAAACACGACACGATCCCGCGTACCTAGCTGCATCATTCTCCACCAAAATTTTGAGATTTTTGATGGAATTTGAGGGGGTTTCCTTTGGAAGTCTAAAACAACAAAACTAATATGAAAAACTGGATCAAACCTGTTCAATTCCTCTTCACTAAAGCTCTTCAAATGTTGATACCACCTTTTCACATAGATTAGGCCGTCAGGAATGTTGCTCACATTCGAAAGCGCGGCTCTGTCTAAAGAACTGGGCGTAAAACTAAAAACACATGGATAATATCCGGATTTCGCTCAACAAACCCGTTGATATAGCTCTGATTTGCCAGGAGATCATTAAGAGAGCGCAATTCCTTCTCCATTTTCCTGGGTTGCACCCGGAATTTCCATTTTTTGAGGAAAATTGACGTAATTTTAATATGAAACACAATGCCAAAAATCGTGTTTTCGTGGTGGGGTGCAGTGAAATTTTTGTAAAACTTCAAAATTTGTAGGGAAACTGTAAAGCAATGTTTATCAAGTGGTAATAGATGTTATGAGGACCTTTATTTCCGCCAAGATATACATTTATGGTCCAAATTTCAATTATATTATCCTTCATTCCTTGGATGACTTGGTCTTTTTTTCTTCCCTCAATTTCACTTTTTCGTCTTTCGGCATCCTCACAATCTGCTCTCCTCGTCTTCTGGCGTCCTTCTCATCATTAATTTCACCAATAATCTCCTCAACAATATCCTCAACAGTGATAACTCCAGCGATTTCGTAATCCTTCTGTTCTGAATCGAATCTCATCACAAAAACCATCGGATGGCCTCGTTTCATGAGTCGCAACAGCTTCATTAGGTTCATTTCTTCTAGCACAAATCGTATTTGAAGATTTCGATGGAACATTTTAGCGATAAACCCTAGGCGAATCCCGCAATTCGGCAAAAACGCGGCCAGATCCTTGACATTGAGGATGCAGGTGACCTAAACCATAAAAATCAAGTCGAAATCTTCAACCTACCATATTTTTATTTCCATTCTGGTACAATGGAATCCTAGTGTGTCCTTTTTTATGAATTTCGGCGCAAACTTCGCGGGTCATCAATGTGTTTTCATCCAACATATACACCTTGTCCAATGGAGTCATAACGTCTCGAATCTTGTTCTCCGGCAATCTATAGGCGCCTACGACCAACTCCACGAGTTTTTTACTAATAGCTTGATCTAAAGAGAGGTAAATTTTGAAGAAATTGGCTTACCTTCTTGTCGACCATGATGATGTTCTACTAGGGCCTTCAACTCCTCACAATTGTAAGTATTCCGGCCAGTCTCGCCAACCAATAAATCGAGGATTTTGGAAATGGGCCAAGCAATCGGATAAAAGAGAACGACAAAGAAAATTGTCAGGCTTCTGGTTCCACTGACAATCTCCAAACACCAACGCATTCCAATGGCTTGAGGGAGAATTTCGCCTAAAAAATAGCTGTCAAACTGATCAATTTTGCTTTCAAAAAATTCTAACCGGTGCTATGATAAAATACCACTACACTTTTCATCGTATTTTACCTCTAAAATTTCAAAAAAAAAATATTTTAAAAACTCACCAAAAATCATGATGACAAAAATAGTAATTGGCACGCTGAACGCGTATTTCAACTCGCTGTCCTGCACATAGTAGTCCAAAACATTGTCAATAAGAAGTGTCAACAAATTATTGACGATTACGTTGCCCAAGACCAACGTTGTGAGCAAACGATTGGCTCGTTCTCGAAGAGGGAGGATATTTCGGGCATAAGTCGCTTTTTTCTCGTCGCCACACGAACTGAGAAGCTGGAAATGAAGAACTTAGATGCTACATAGCATAAGACATGATTTTAGATTCATTTAGGAAAAGAATTTGGATCAAAAAGAGCAAAAATTATGTTATCCATACCCTCAGATGATAGGTGCTCAAGGAGAACGTGGAGATGGTAATTCCAGAGAAATAACCGCTGAATGGAAGGAGAAGTCCAATACAGGTCAACTGCAGCCACAGCGGAAAATACAGCCCATTTGTTTCATGTTGGAGCACGCGAAATTCATCAAGAGGAAGGACACTAAAAATCAAGTGTAATATCGCCAATATTGTCAAAATTTATCAAATTAAGAAAACTTACAACGACTGATTATCATCAACGAAGCTCATACAAAGTTTATACGGAAGATCGGAGGGTTCAAGCGACTGAAAATACAAGTTTCAACAAATTTTTTCGGTTTCTCACCACTGAAAACTTGATTTGATGCGATTCCTCTTTTCTTTCGACGATCTCGGCCAGGAATTGTCGCTTATCTCCGTAATTACACTCCTCAGACAACTGCACAAATCCCACTTGGTCTATGCGGGTGACATCATCGAGGAAAAGCAGGAATTGGACCGGTCCGTTCTCACTGTTCATAATGAAATCCGTCGTTTTGTAGTCCCTAAAACAAGACGTTCTCTGCGCGAGACATTTCCTAAACTTACCGAGACTCCATCCGCATCCCGTAAATTTCAAAGCCAATATCATTAGTGGCCAGTGTGAAGGACAAGCAGAAAAATACTGGAAAAACACCAATCAGCATGGTGAAGATGAAAAAAATTATGATTTTTTCGATTTTTCAATTGATTTTTGTTGAATTTTAATTTGCATATTCTGTGAAAATGATGTTTTTGTCAATTGATTGGCATGAATGTTCGAATTTTTGCCAATAAGAGGTCGAACGACATTATTTTAGGTTGATACCTAAAGTAATATCAGAAACTTGAAAATACCTTCTAATTTTATTTTATTTTGTGATAGTCGAGGTTGCTTTTGTATTTTACATCAAGCTTTGTCGAAAAAAGAAAAACTTTCTCATGTATTTAGCATAAAATAAGGTAATATCAATTAATCTTTGATGTCACTTTAAAAAATTAAAAGACGATTTCTGAGTCAGTGAAGCAAGCCGTGACATAGGATTTTTTCGAAGTTGAGTTTTTTGCATAAATATGATCCACAGCACCAGTAGGGAAAAAGCGAACCACAGTTTTCCTCAATTCTTCTATTAACTGTACTTTTTATACAATTTTCTGTTTATACAGTAATTCGTCATAACTTTCTACAATGGTGTCCGTTTGTCATAAAAATAAGGCTACTATGGTTTTTGGGCATGACGAGTTCAATAAAACCAAAAAAATTTCATCCGGTTACGGTAACATATAAAAATACTGTATCGGTCGGTAAAAATCGACCATAAAAAGTTTGTTTCAAAAAACCCACAGCCAATTTTTTCATATTCGTAATCAGCGTAAAATTCTGCTCTAGGACCAATTTTAAAAAGTTCAAAAATAGGACCCCCATTTTCCGTGGTGTAGTGGTTTTTGACCAAAACTGGTAATCTGACCACCCAGGTTCGAATCCGGGTGGGTGCGAATGTAGAAAAAAGACCTAAAGTCACTTTTAATGAAAACCTGAGAGTTATTTGAAGCACGCTGAGCAATTTTAGGCATTAAAACTCTCTGAATTTGGGATTAAAACGATTTTTATGTAATTTTAGAGGATTAATGCATCAAAAATAAAACTGCTTCAAACTGGTTGAAATTGATAACACTTATTCTATGGCTAATTGTAAGAAACTTATCTGTTAACTTTTTTTGGTAGAGTGCTGCATCATGGATTACTGTAACATAAAACTTATTCTACTTAGCAGATGTTTTCTTCAAAATTCTTGGGTAAATGTTTTTCTTTTTTTGATTAGATCTATTAAAAAGCAAGAAATCTCAACGCTCCATATTTCAAAAAAAGAATTTCCCATGATATATTGTGCATCTTGACATCATTATCGATTGGAAACCTGCGCGTTTTAACGGACGTGTTTCAAGTCCTACGGACATAGAAAACACATTTGTGTGATAACCAACGTGTTCTCAAGCATTCCTATCATAATTGTGATACACTGAAGTCTCTACGCCCTGTGGCATACCAAAAACGAAAACGGGTTTAATGTTACAGTAATCCATGATACAGCATTCTACCAAAAAAAGTTAACGGGAAAGTTTCTTACAATTAGCCATAGAATAAGTGTTATCAATTTCAACCAGTTTGAAGCAGTTTATTTTTGATGCATTAATCCTCTAAAATTACATAAAAATCGTTTTAATCCCAAATTCAGAGAGTTTTAATGCCTAAAATTGCTCAGCGTGCTTCAAATAACTCTCAGGTTTTCATTAAAAGTGATTTTAGGTCTTTTTTCTACATTCGCACCCACCCGGATTCGAACCTGGGTGATCAGATTACCAGTTTTGGTCAAAAACCACTACACCACGGAAAATGGGGGTCCTATTTTTGAACTTTTTAAAATTGGTCCTAGAGCAGAATTTTACGCTGATTACGAATATGAAAAAATTGGCTGTGGGTTTTTTGAAACAAACTTTTTATGGTCGATTTTTACCGACCGATACAGTATTTTTATATGTTACCGTAACCGGATGAAATTTTTTTGGTTTTATTGAACTCGTCATGCCCAAAAACCATAGTAGCCTTATTTTTATGACAAACGGACACCATTGTAGAAAGTTATGACGAATTACTGTATAAACAGAAAATTGTATAAAAAGTACAGTTAATGGAAGAATTAAGGAAAACTGTGGTTCGCTTTTTCTCTACAGGTGCCATGGGTCATAATAATGTAAAAAACTCAACATCGAAAAAATCCTATGTCCTGGCCTAACTACGGCTTGCTTCAGTGACTCAGAAATCGTCTTTTAAAGATTATCTGTGAAAATCAACAACTTTTACGTCATAATTGTCTGCTCCCATCAACTTTCCCTCGTTTTATTGTTCCCGAGCGACTTCCGCTCATTTCCAAAAGGACAACAATATTTCATCGGCCGCAGCTCGCGGAAGTACGTGCCAATTTTCGGAGCGTCCCGCCACGAAAACAAGTGGACGGGTTTTGGTGCGCTGCTAAAAAACGCGGCGCGCTAAAATTATATATTTTTGTTGTTGTTATTTTTGCCGGTGCTTTTACCGCTCAAAACGGGCCCACCCTTGGAGAATCGATGGCCCATCGGTCGCTGAGTTCGGCCGATATTCTTGGCACCAGCACAACGCGGCCGAAACCCCATCAAATTGCGTCGCGATGGGAGCCGGTGGAGTTCGTACGTTTCGAGGCCCTCACTTCCAATTGCCGCCCCACCGGTTGCAAAGCGTTGACGGACGTAGAGCCGCAGGTACGACCGACAAGCTCGGTGAGTCTCGGATCAGAAGCGGTTAGTGCGGGATCGAGCACAAGCCCCGACTCCATCACCGACGAGTTGACTCATTGCAGCCCGAAGAACGTGCACAAGGCCTTGACAGAGTAAGTTCTTTACATTTTTTGTCTTTTCGGCTTTTAGGAACGATGCAGCGACATTATTTTAGATATCAGATAGGGCTAACGGAATTTGCTTTCATGTGACTTTGTTTTGCATTTTTTCGGACGGAATGGGAGAAAAAAAGATGCCCCAGCTGATTTCCAAGGTGTTTTTTCGGTGTTTACGTGAAATTAAGTGCGTTTTACGTAGTTTCTGCTCGAATTATGTTGGGCTGGGGTTTAGCTAATGGATAATTTATATTTGCGCAATTCACGCAATCACGCCATATTATTTTGTCTGCGTTTGGGACATAAGAGCAAAAGGGGTCGTTCCCTGTTTGATTAGGCAATTCGAATTGCTCTGGAGGTAATATTATCCTTGAGGGAGTTAGTTCAAATAAGATTGATTATTAAAAATGAAATATTGATTAGGTCAAGATGATAATACCTAGATGGCTGCGGAGGTGTGTGTATTATATGTTTTTGACCTTTTTCGGGATTTTATAATCTTTATATTAATTTAGATATCAAAAGAATGGATGGGAAAAGAATGGTCAGAAGACGCCTCAGATTCGGATAAAACTGAAGGAAAACGGTGTGAATGGGACTCCTCAAACTCCCAAGTTGCCGGAAAATGGACGGGTCAACGGAATTAAGAGGTACAGAAAAAAATTTATATTACCCATGACATTTTTAGTAAAATTTTTGGTTTTTATCCATAAAAAATGGTTTCAGAAGGTCGAGCTCGCCGCCCCCAGTCAAAATCGGCTTCAATGAGATCCATGAAGACGAATTGGAGGAGGAGGCGACGTTGAGTCAGCTTATGAATGGGCTGAAACAAAAAGAAAAGCCCTCGAATGGAGTTGTTCCCGATGTTAATATGGAGCAAAGTGGAACAGAGTCGGAAACCTCGCCCGCCAAGTCGATGAATGGGGTCAGTCCGGCCAAAACGAACGCTTTATCAACGCCGAAGAACGGATTTTTGTCCCCAATCAAGCTGAATGGCACAGCGAAGAGTATAATCCCTCAGAATTTGGTCAAATCGGCCGAAAAAAATGGCCTCAGATCGAATGGAGATCAAAATTTGCACATGGAAACAGATGATTATGGTCCGAAAAGTCCCCCAGGAGGTTCCGGAGGAGCTTCAGGCTTTGTCACAGCGAAGTCGATGGCTCAAAAATCGGGTTCCAGCAGTCCAGTCAGCCCCAAAGTGTATGGTCCAGCACTTCCGACCAAATTTTTCCCAAATCTCTCGACTCCGAGCCCCTTGAAATCGGGTCCAACAACCCCAATGAAGACCGTCTCAGCCCCCACCAGCCCCACCAAGAACAGCCCCATGAAAACGCCGGTCAAAAAACAGGTTGCCTCAACTTCGGCCACCTTTATTGGCCCGCAATTACCGACGAGAGACGAGGAAATGCAGCCGGAAAGCAGTAATGCCCAAACAAATGGAACCAATGTCCTCACCAAGAAGCTCACAATCAAGCGCCCCGCCGAGGATGATGGCCCGTACACCTACGATTGGGAGGACACCCCCCTGAAGGCAGGTTTTGACTTTAATTTATATTTTTGACTTTAATTTATATTGTAGTAGGTATCAGGTGGAAGATTGCGATTTTTGATGGATTTTTATGATTATTTTTTGCAGATGAAGCATGGTCCAGGCTTCTTCAACTCCCGAAATGATTGTTTTATGAATTCCGTCCTTCAGTTTGTCTTTCACACTCCTCAGTTGATCAAATTCCTGCAGAGACCCGGAAAACGTAAGGTTTTTGATTTTTGTGTTGAAATTTAGGTACAAACTATGGATTGAAGGCTAGTGAAAGGTGTGTAAAGCATCGAGGCAGGTTTTGACAACAACTCTCGATAGAAAAAACGAGGTTTCATCCCCAAAAATATCAAAATTCAACAGTTTTGCCTAGTGTAATATAATTTTGTGTAAATTTTGCAATTTTTAGATTGCCATCAGAGCCCCTGCATGTATTGTGGCCTTCGCAATGTGTTGTTGGATATCCTGAACAGGAACATCAAGAAGACGTACTGCAAGGAGATCAAACATTGTGTGAATCAGGGCTTCCCCACTCTGAGATGGCTGGACTCCCAAGAAGACGCACATGAGATGTTGACTTTCTTGTTTGGCAAGCTTGAGCCCCCAATTGAGTCGAGGAAGTCATTGCCGAATGGAAAGAAACCCCCAACGGAGATTGACAAAATTTTTGGAGGAATTTTGAGTAGAAAAAGTGAGTTTTTTATATTTGTTTTTGGTGTTTAGGTTGAGAGATGGACTTGAGAGGATGTGAAAAGGCTTGATAAGGGAATTTGAGATGATTTTATGGATTTTGGACTTTACTTTTGATGAAAATTCTAAAATCTTGTCATGTGTAATATAAATTTTGGTCGGTAGTGGTTGTTGTTGATGGTTAAAAGGTTTGATGGGATGTGAAAAGGATATTTTGATTTGTTTTAGCTTTGGTTTGGCCTTTTTTGATATAATTTTTATCATGGTTAATATAAATTTTTTCAAAAAATCCGATTTTTTTTGAAAATACTGCTGGAGGGCATGTAGTAATGGTGTTTTCTTTTAGTGTTTTGCTCAAATTGCAAGAATGTCAGCTGGAGCACCGAGGAATTCCGGGAATTTAACCTGAATCTGAACCAAAACATGAACATCCTGCAGAACGACCCCACCCTCAAGGTGTTTGTGGACGCCTACTTCAGAGCCGAGAAGATGAAAGATTTCAAGTGCGAGAAGTGCAAGTCGGTGGACACTTCGAGCAAGAGTTTCGCGATCCAAGACGCCCCCAAAGTGCTGGTGATCCAATTAAAACGCTTCAAACACACCGGATCCAAGATTCAAATGCCCATCTCCATCCCTCACGAATTGAATTTGACCAACTACACACGCCAGAAGAGCAATTTGCAGTATAAATTGTATGGATTCATCAACCATTATGGCGCCACAACAAATAGTGGACATTATACTGCAACCATGAGGGGTTACGATGGAAATTGGTACTCCTTTGATGATGAACAGGTGAGTAGTTGGTTTTGAAAAGGATTGGAGGTGGTTTGAGGAAGGTGTGGCACTTGAAATTTGAAAATTTTTCGATTTTTTGAGGAAAAGTGGGACTTTTTGGAAGAAAATTGAAATTTTTGGGGCTAAAGTGGGTGTAAAATACGATGAAGTTTATTATTTGTGCTTTTTATATCAGTTGGGATGTTTTACAAGGAAATTTGATAAGGATATCAACAATTTTTGAAAAATGTTGGTCATGTGTAATATAATTTTTGTCGAGTTTGATGGAAAAATAGGGTTTAGATGGAAGATACAGCTTAATTAAGAGTAGATGAGATCGAATTACCGTGTTTGAAAGAAAATTTTGAGGAGTTTTATGATGAATAATATAATTGTTGGGCAAAAATTTGAAAAGCTTATAAATTTGTGTCATGGATAGCGTAAATTTGCATTTTTTATTGAATATCTGCCCATTTCAGGTGGAACAAACCAGAGTCAACAACGCCCCCACCCAATTCCCGTACATTCTGTTCTACGCGAACAAGGCGAACGCCAACTTTCGGATAAAAGGCGTGAATAATGTGAATGGTGTGAACTCGCCCCGGTATGCGAACGGAGCCCCGGTGCACAAGAAACTCCCCACCCAGATCACTCACAGCTGGACCCCCAAGGTCATCACATGAGAGAGTTGGGAGCAATTTGAACATGTCGCCCAGTAGTCCCCCCAATTGTTGATTTATTCCCGTAATTGTAATTGTCTTTGCCAATATATTGTACGATGTTACACTTGGTATGCTTCCTTGTCGTATTCAACGGCCTTATCAACCCTCTAAGAGTCATAGGAAATTAGGAATCAAAGATTATATTATCCATGAGGATCTAATGGAAAATTTGGGTCGTTCACCCCAAACCCCCTAAAAATACACTTGGTTCTCTTTCTCTTGCTAAGCCTTAATCCCCATTCTCTTATATACACAAAAAATTTTCGGCCGAACTTTCGTATTTTAGCCTTTTTTTACCTTATTTTACATTTTTGGACCCTGTAACCCCAATTTTTGGCAATTTTTCGATGTTTCCGGCCATTTTTCACTGTTCCAAAGGCTTTCACCCGAAGCCGCAGACTTTATCTCGTATTCCACACACAATTCTTCCGTATTTCAGCCCGTCTCCGGGGCGGCCGCGCCAAAAGTTTGTTGTTTTTGTTAAGTTTTGCGCCGGTCCCCATTTATAAATTAAAAAAGTTGTTAGAATTCTGTCTTCAAACTGTTTAATAAACAACCGTGATATAATATGATGCACAAGATGTACGGCGAGGAGAGAGAGAGAGGTCGGACGGCCACACAGAAAGGTTATTTTTCGAAGAGATCTTTTATCGAAACAATAAATTTTATTATGTCCATTTGGGTTTTCACTTCGTCCGGGTCGAGTGTAGCGCGAAACAGGGGAATCCCCATGCAGCAGAGATTGGATTGCTGGTCCTGGACTAGCTGGAAATTGAGTTTTGGGAGAAATTTTATGTTATCCATGAGGAGATTGAGGGAAATTTCATTTTTCTTGATAAAAATGATAAGGTTTCGATTGGAAAACTAAGATTTACCTCATCGATCTGCTCCATAATTTCTCGGTCAATCGTTTTTATCCCTTCCAAGTCGTTTTGATCCGCCAATTCTCGAACTTTCCGATATCTTTGGTTCAAAAGCTCTCTATAAAATAGACTTTCTGATCAATGAAAAAGAACCGTAAAAGGAGAATTTATGTTTGAGGCAAAGTTTTAAGTAGTCAACTTATTTTAAACCTCACCAAAACTGGATTATTTATATTACACATGACCACCAAAGCTAAAAATGTGTACAGTCTCGTAATTATTGTCTGTTATTTAGATATTATTGCTTCAGAAGGCAGCCTTTGTCATTTTCTTACTAATTATCTACCTCAACGGTCAAACAGCGGGCTAAATTAGACAAATTTTGCCATTTATATTATCCATAAGCTCGGAAGAAAACTTGATGCAAATCACACTCCATTTCTTTAGAATCTGAATAGGTAGAGGCGTACAAAGATGCTACAGGGTCATTTCTTGCTATATGACTAGGATTTAGACCGCTATTGTTATCTGATTTTCGAAAATTGCAGAAACTATGTTATTCATGACCTCAAAATGCAAAATCTGTCCAATTAGATTTGCTTTGTATCAAACTGAAGTGATTTGTGTTCTAGAGGCAGAAATAGATCCTATTTGAACTATTCATCCATATTTTACATCACAATTCCCTCTAAGTTCCTCACAAATCCATCAATTATCTGCTCCATGTCTTCTAAAAGTTGAAAACAAAAAAATCTCAAAAATCCTTACGTTTCTCTCAATTCCTGTAAATGCTCCAACGAGGAGACCACTCCGTACACCGTGCCATCCAACAGACAGTCAACTAGTCGTTCTTTCACATTTCCCGCGAGTTTTTCCTTCTCAATTCCGCCGTTTTCGATGAATTTTTCGAGTTTTTGGCCGATTTCTTTCTTGAGATCCATTCGACATGAAATTTCTATTTACAGATGGCCCAAAAGATCCTCCCTGACGCCAGCTACGAGCACATGGACATCCGTTTTGACATGAATGTGAGGATTTTCGCCTTTTTCTGCGGGAAACTTGACTTGTTGCAGAATGCCAAGAATTATTGGCAAATGCAAAACTTGCGGGAAATTTGAAAGTTTTGATGATGAGATTGCTGCAAAATAAAAATTTAGGGTATTTAGAGGATTATAAAGAGAATTTAGTTTGAAATACCCGAATTTACTATCAAATTTATATTACACTTGACTTCAGATCGCCTCCAGAACAAATCAAGTTCCAGAATACGAAATCATCTTGAACCTAAAGCTCAAATCCGGCGAGACCAAGCAGTATTCGATGAAAGCCGATGACATAAAGTTGTTGGATGGGGAGCTCACCAAAATTGTTTCACATTTTCCAAAGTGCCGGAGATATCGCTGAACTTTTACTTATCATATTTGCAATTAATTATATTATTACATAAATCCCTCACAATCAGATATTTAATTTGAAAATTTTTTCTTATCGTGCACAGTGCGAAATTTGGCATTTTTTTGGCACTGCACCGTGCGGTGAAAAGAGTCTTGATTTTTCGCACTGTGCAATGAAAATTGAAATCCAAAAAAGGGTTGGCGGTGAGGCTAAATGACCAATTACCTTAGAACAGCATAATTTTTTAGAAAAAATGTCGCACAGTGCAGAAACCAGCACTTTTTTTCGACTGCACTGTGCAGTCTACGAAACTTTGGTTTTTCGCACTGTGCATTGAAAATTGAAATCCAAAAATTAGTCAGCCGTACTTCAAAGGACCCTGTTATTTACGAGGAATACAGTTTCGGCAAACAAATCTTCTGCACAGTGCAAAAACCAACATTTTATTCGACTGCACAGTGCAGTCTGCAAAATTTTGGTTTTTTGCACCGTGCGCTAAGAAATTAGAGTTCTATGGAAATTCGAACGCCGTTACAGTACTCCAAACCACTTCTAACGCATTTTTCACACCCTCAAAATCGGAGTGAAAGTTCAAAAAGACCATAAATGTCGAGAGGAAAAACCGTTTTCACTTTCTTCCCAAAAAATCTTCTTTTTTTGGTTCCGCAATCCCTTTTCCCACTTGATTTTGCAATCGGAACCCATGAGGGCATCGATGTTTCACGGTGTGAAACAATTTGAAGAGCGGTTTCTTCCGGAGAAATGGATTTTCAAATAAAGAATGGGAGGGGGTTTCTTGAATGCCTGAGGGCTTTTTGGTCGCGCAGATGGAGAAAAGAGGTCCGTTATGGGAAGACAGGTGGATTTACAATATCTTGTAAGGACGTTTTTGAAAATTTGGGGGAAATTTTTTATTTTGAAGAATTTTTTTTGAGTGCACAGTGCGGGAATTTTTGAAAAAAGAATTTTTGACTGCACTGAGCAAAATTAAAAAATTTTTTGTCAGCACTGTGCAAAATAAATTTTTTTACTACACGGTGCAAAATCAAAAAAATTTTTTTTTTTTTTGACTGCACTGTGTAAAATTAAAAAAAAATTTTGACTGCACAGTGCAAAATAAAAAATTTTTTGTCAGCACTGTGCAAAATAAATTTTTTTTTACTGCACGGTGCAAAATTCAAAAAAAAAATTTTTTGACTGCACAGTGTAAAATTTAAATAAAAATTGACTGCACAGTGCGAAAGTTTTGCACGGTGCAAAAAAAAAAAAAAAATAAAAAATAAAAAAAACTCTCTTCGCCAACCTCGTGGTCTAACCAACTTTTTTTCACTTTCAAAAACAATTTTTAAGACTTTTTTGGTCGAATGATTTTGTAAACAAAGCAGATTCCTTGCAGAGATTATCTTGTAGATCAGAAGATCTTGTTTTGGTCACAGGTGATTTAAATTCCTCGTGTTTTACAGATATTTTTGTTCGAAAAGGTGACAAAAAACATGTTTTTAGTTTTTCTTTTGATTACAGTATCTTTTTTTGCACCTTGCACAGTGCAACCCAACTTTTTCCCTGCACCGTGCGTTGGAATTTCAATGTTTGACAAACTGCACGGTGCGTTTGTTTCGTCATTCTTTTGCACTGTGCAAACCGACTTTTCCCTTGCCACTTGCGACAGAATTAATTTTGCAACCAACTGCACAGTGCGGTACAAGTTTTTCTTTTCTTTGCACAGTGCACTCACATTTTCTCTCTGCACCGTGCAATGAAAATAACTTTGCATCAACTGCACGGTGCAAGCCTTCATTTTATAATTCATTGCACAGTGCAAACTCAAATTTGTCTTTCACTGTGCGACAAGACAAAATTTTTGGTAAAATGCACAGTGCAAACTAAAATTTTTATTGCACCGTGCGACAAACTAAATTTTCTGAAAAATTGCACAGTGCATTCTGAGCTTTTCTTCTCCGCACTGTGCAATATTTAAAATCAGCGACAATCCGCACAGTGCAGTCCAAACCTTTCAATTCATTTTGCTTTTGCACAGTGCAAACTCAAACTTCTCTTGCACCGAGCGACAAAATTAAATTTGCGACAAACTGCACAGTGCAGTCTAAACTTTCATCCTCCGCACTGTGCAAAACTCAAGAATCTGCGACATTTCGCACTGTGCAGTCCAAAACTAACTGCACAGTGCAGCCTAAACTTTTCTTCTCCGCACTGTGCAAAGCCAAACTTTTTGCGACAAACTGCACAGTGCAAAATCCTTTTTCCCTCCTTTCCTTTTTGCACAGTGCAAACTCAAATTTCTCGTGCACCGTGCGACAAACTAATTTCTCGACAAACTGCACAGTGCAGTCTAAACTTTCATCCTCCGCACTGTGCAACACAAAAAATTTTTGCGACAATTCGCACTGTGCAGTCCAAAACTGAGTGCACTGTGCAGTCTAAACGTTTCTCCCCGCACTGTGCAAAACAAAAATTTTTTCGACAAACTGCACAGTGCAAAACTCTTTCCTCTTCTTTTGCTTTTGCACAGTGCAAATCCCCCTTTTCCTTTCGGTTCCTCTTCCCACGCACTGTGCGGCTGATTATGACAACAAACCATGACAAATCACCCCGTTCTGATGCACTTTCGGAACTGGTTGAAACCCAAACCGTTTCCATTGTTGATGCAGTGTAATGTCGTTGAGAAATCGAAGTGAATTTTTATGACCATGCCCCGGAGACGTTCCATTTCTGCGTTCGAATTTAATTCCATTTTCCGATTGACCGGAATTAAACATGGCGGAACTGTAAATTCGTTTGGGTTCGCGACGCTTCTCAAGTGGGAATTTTAATGGTTTTAGAGGCGAATTTACAGTAGAGCATGAGATTTTTGAATTTTTTGATTTTTTAACTTTTGGAGGCATCTTTTTTGCAATTGTAATTATTGGTCGATTAAAGTAGCAGTATAAAAATTTTGGAGATTATCTGATAGTTTAGACCATGGTTAGTCTACTGGAGTTTGAAATATATTTTTTGCATGCCCTCAAGCCATGAAAATCGCTAAATAAAAACAAATTTTTAGATTTTGTCAAAAATTTTTAGTACAACTTAAACAAGTTATATCTTAGTCACTAGGCAATGTAATTTTACAAAATTTTGTGGAATCGTACCTAAGGGCATCTAGTTTGACTGTGCAAATCGGCTTTCTGATATCTCCTTTATTTCTCGGGTTACTGTAATTTTTTGAAACTTCGCCGATTTAAAAACTTTTTTTTTATTTTTTGAAATTTTGACAATTAATTAGCTAAAAAATAAGTCAATTAGCTTGTCAGTAAATATAAAATTTACTAAAAACCTCAGTTTCAACACAAAAATTTCTTATTAAAACTTATAATTCTCAAAAAATCTCGAATTGACTGGTCAAATTTTGAGCCCAATCTTGTCCTCAAAAAGTCCCTTCCATTCGTCGCCTATTAAAAGAACGGCTGTTCTCAACGTCCCAAACGTTTCCACGTTTATTCCGGGCCTCCGGTTATCTCGCTTCATGGCCATTTTTATTTCACATCGTCTGCAATTTCATGACGAATTTTACGGTATTTCTTGCAGAAAATTGCTGGTGGCGAACAACAAAGAAAAGAAAAAATTGCTCGAGCAGGAAATTTATAACCCGCCCTGAGCGGGGCTTTGATAAAAAGCGTGGATTTATTGGCATAAAAAGTAAAAAACGATGATTTTTTTGAAAAAATATCTTGTTTTTACGGTGAAATGACGAAAATTTTGGGAGTTTAGAGCGTCAAAATTTTCTTGAGGGCAGCTGTTTTCATCGTGCAGTCCACTTAAGTATTGCTTTTTACTGCACAGTGCAAAAAATTTGGATTTCTTTTTGCACAGTGCAAAATTTTTCGTTTTTTTTTTGCACTGTGCACTTGAATTTAGAATTTTTTGATTAGCAAGATAAATAATGAGGTTTTATTGAAACTTTTCGTATTTTAAAACCCACTATTTTTTTGATTTTTTAACTTTTTTCAAGGCTTTTTTATTTTTGAAAGTTTTTTTGACATTTCAACTTTAACTACGTATGTCTAAAAAAGTAACTGTCTGATTTTAATGAAATTTGGCTGTGATAGTTGGTATAGAGAGTTGTTGCTTTGCCAAAAATTTTGTTTTATTTCGACCTTTACTTTTTGAGTTATGTCATCTTTTCCATGACAGACCCAAAAAAACAAATTTTTCCGAAAATTGAGGGAAAAATGGGATTTACTCTTAGATTATGCGTTAATTTGTGACAGTAACGATTCTAGCAGTCCATCCGACGTATTTTACATTTATTTCTGGGCGATTTACTATCCATTTTACCTTTCAAAATGACCAAAATCTACTGCAATATCATCAAACCCCTTTTTTAGGTCTTTATCCAAAAACTATTAAACCACTACCTTCCCGATGACTAACTCACTGGTTTCTCCATCATATCGTCTCATTCTACCTTCACCTTCCCCTCGTATTACCTGTTTTCTCCCAGTAAAAAACAAAAAAAGATTTCTGCACTGTGCGGTTAGTCATCGCCGAAGCGCCCGCGGCGGGTTTTCACTTATCTGGGTTGCGTCTTAAAATGGCTCGCGTTTCGACAGTTGCATGCCTTTCTTTTCATTCGCCCCTCAGGCATCCAGTTTGGCGTTTTGCGTGAAGATTTTTCGCTTTTTTCGCTAATTTCAAGGGATTTTCTGCCAAAAATGGGTCAAGTTTGGGAGAAAATGGCTGAATTTTTGTTGAAAAATTAATGATTACGAAGATTCAAGTTATATAAATATTTTTGAGATGCTCTACAGCCCTGTAAAATAGTAAATTCCTATAGTTTTTTCGTGATTTTTCCAAAAAATCCGGGGTTTTGGTGATTTTTTGATCATAAATCATTCAAAAAAGGTAATTCTCTCCTAATTAACTACCCAGATGAATGGCCATGGTCCTTCTTATATTTTTCATGACCTTTTATTGTGGAATGAGCATCAAAATTTGTTCAAATTTTGAATATTATTAAAAAAATTACTGTTTTATCCTAAAAATTGCATAAACGTTGTTTTTAAAAACGAAATTTGAGTTCAAATGCTACTCAGTATAATTTATCAGCGATGAAAAATGGTCTAAACATGTTTTCATGCCTTCGCCTGGGGCAAAATTTTGTTTTTTTAAAGAAAAATCAAAAAATTTGGCCAAAAATTAAGAAATTTTAAAAATTTTTTGTTTTATTGTCTAAAATAAGGTCCGTAATCGATTTATTTTGGATTATTCATTTGCCTAGTAGTTTATAATAGTAGATTTAGTCTTTATTTCGTCCAAAAAATATTCTGTTTTTCCAATTTTTCCAAAAAAAACCCAACTTTTTCCCAAAAAATCATCGTTTTCCTCCAATTTCCTACCGTAACCCCTCGTAAATTACTCCGTGTCACAGTTTACAACATGTTTTCCGCTCAAAAATAATCTCGCCCGCCATCTGCGCGCTTATTGCGTAACGAAATTTTTTCGAAAATTTAAAAATTTCCTCAACCCTCGTCTCTGCCGTCTCTCAACTCCCCGCACTCCCTGCGCATCCCCAAAATTTGGGAGACGAAGCATCTGCGAATTCCAGTTTTCGATCCGGCTGCGTTCGTCTGCCGCTGATTACGTCGGCGCTTTTTGTTTTTGCGCCCTTTTCTTTCGCCCGAGGCGGTTATCAGATGGGTGGACGGAGAAGTGGAAGTAAGCCCGAAATTACAACGCGTTCTCGTTTCGGGATTTTCACGTAAATCCCTTCGGTCTGCGGTGAGGTCGCTGATCCGATTGCACTGTGCGAATGGAAAGTTTTCGAGCGCACGGTGCGGCGAGATTTTGTTTTTGCCGCACTGTGCAATCAGATTTTGAGTTTGCGACAACTCGCAATGATATTGAAACTGCACTGTGCGGGTTGAATTTTTTGGAAACTGCACTGTGCGGATGGAAAGTTTTCGAGCGCACGGTGCGGCGAGATTTTGTTTTTGCCGCACTGTGCAGTGAGATTTTGAGTTTGCGACAACTCGCAATGATATTGAAACTGCACTGTGCGGGTTGAATTTTTTGGAAACTGCACTGTGCGGATGGAAAGTTTTCGAGCGCACGGTGCGGCGAGATTTTGTTTTTGGCGCACTGTGCGGTGAGATATTGTTTCCGGCGCACTGTGCAATCAGAGTTTGAGTTTGCGACATCTCGCGATGACTTGGAAATTGCACAGTGCGGATTGAAAGTTTTCGATCGCACGGTGCACCCTGTTTTGAGTTTGCGACAACTTGCGACAATCATGAAACTGCACGGTGCGGGGAGATGTTGTTTTTAGCGCACAGTGCGGTAAAACGAATTTTATATTGCACTGTGCAATCAGATTTTGCAATGTTGAAATTGCACTGTGCGGATGGAAAGTTTTCGATCGCACGGTGCGGGGAGATTTTGTTTTCGGCGCACTGTGCGGTGAAACGAATTTTCTAATGCACTGTGCAACCGGATTTTGCGATGAAGAAATTGCACTGTGCGGATTGAAAGTTTTTAATTTGCACGGTGCGGGGAGATTTTGCTTTTGGCGCACTGTGCAATCAGATTTTGATTTTGCGACAACTCGCGATGATCTTGAAACTGCACTGTGCGAACTGAAAGTTTTCGATCGCACGGTGCGGGGAGATTTTGTTTGTTTGCGCACTGTGCGGTAAAACGAATTTTATATTGCACGGTGCAATCAGATTTTGAGTTTGCGACAACTCGCGATGACTTGGAAATTGCACAGTGCAGACTGAAAGTTTTGGATTGCACTGTGCGGATGGAAAGTTTTCGATCGCACGGTGCGCGGAGATTTTGTTTTTGGCGCACTGTGCGGTGAATGAAGATTTATATCGCACGGTGCAACCAGATTTTGAGAAATTTGGATTTTCTCGCACAGTGCGGCAAAGAAAAGGAATTAAAATTGCACCGTGCAAGTATAAAACTGCACTGTGTAAGTATTAAAATTTTTATTTTAATTTCCGTGACATTGTGCAAAATTTAAAAAAATCTTTGTGTTATTAATACATCAAAAATCGATTTCCAAAATTTTGTACTATGAAATCAATCAAACGATGACTATTTGCTCAATCATAGTCCGATGGGAATTAACATTCCTTGTTTGGTGAATTAATTCGGATTACGTCAGCGCAATGTGAATTCAATTCTTCTCCGCCCCTTGTCGCCGGCGATTTAATCTCCGTTTGGTCGCACTGTGCGGCAGTCTTGGGTGGGCGCACGGTGCAATGGGATTTGGGGAGTGCACAGTGCAAAAAACATTTTTTGGGGATTTGCACAGTGCAGAAAAAATAGCAAATGGACTGCACGGTGCGAAAAAGATTTTTTTGGCTTTGCACAGTGCAAAAAAAATAGAAAATGGATTGCACGGTGCAAAAAAATTCTTTTTGGGGGATTTGCACAGTGCAGAAAAAATCTAAAATGGACTGCACGGTGCGAAAAAGATTTTTTTGGAATTTGCACAGTGCGAAAAAAAATAGAAAATGGATTGCACGGTGCAAAAAAAATTTTGGGTTTTGCACGGTGCGGAAAACATTTTTTGGGGATTTGCACAGTGCAGAAAAAATAGAAAATGGACTGCACGGTGCGAAAAAGATTTTTTTGGCTTTGCACAGTGCAAAAAAATTCTTTTTGGGGGATTTGCACAGTGCAAAAAAACTTTTTTTGGGATTTGCACAGTGCGGAAAAAATTGAAAATGGATTGCACGGTGCGAAAAAATTGACTTCTTTTTCCACGAAAAATGTCATTTCCCACAAAAAAAAATCCAAAATTAAATCATTTCAAATCTAAAAATACTATTTACACCTTGCGACACACTTGTTTCCCCACTTAATTTTTGATTTCTTCTGCTTATCCCACCCATATTATTATTTACACTTTTCAAAGCCCAACTATTTGTGTTTTCGTTGTTTGCCCTAAGGGCTTCACGCTTCCTTGCCAACCTTTGAAAGCCCCGAGGGCCTGGGAATTACATATTTACAAACAGTTCGCTTCGAATACGTGTTTAGGCGGCGCTTTCGTTCAGAAAAAAGTGGCGGGAGGGATTTTTCGGAGATTTTTTTGTATTTTTTTAAATTTTGGGGTATAAAAATTGCAAAATAGAGAACAAAATATTGTGTAGATTTTTTTTGATTGAAAAAATGTATTTTTTGCACGGTGAAATAACTTTTTTTGAAACAAAAATGCAAAAAATAGCAGTTTTAAGGCTAAAAAACGAGTTAAAATGTGTGTAATTGTTGAAAAAATTGTAAAATACGGTTTATCACAGTTCTGAGGCTCTTTCCAAACTAGCGGTAAAATACGGATTTTTATTTTTTTTGCACTGTGCAAAATTTTGGGCACAAAATTTAAAAAATACAGATCACAAAAACAAAAATAAAATGTTAAATACGGAGACGAACATTACTTTATCATTTTCTATTTGCTTTTTTATTTACCAAATTGCATTGTGTAAGTTTTAGAGCTATATTTTTGTGACCGCACAGTGCGAAAATTTCAGCAGTAATTTTGTGAAATTCGATAAGTGAAAAAATAAAAAGAATGTAAAATACGAGGTTATCAATTCAAGCCGATATATATTTTTTTCATTTGTCTCTTTACTGAATTGCACTGTGCAATTTTAGGAACCATTTTTTTTTGAGAGCACGGTGCGAAAAATTCCGCAGTAATTTTTAAAATAAGATGAGGGAAAAAAAGTAAAAATTGTAAAATACGAGCTCATCAATTCAAGCAGATATTTTTTTTTCATTTTTCCCTTTACTGAATTGCACTGTTCACTTTTTGGAACCATTTTTTTGAGCGCACAGTGCGAAAATTTCCGGCCAAATTTTGTGAACCACGATAAGTGAAAAAAAGTAAAAATTGTAAAATACGTCTACCGATGCAATTGCCCCTTTTTCATTTTTCCACCCCCTCAATTGCACTGTGCGAATTCCCAACCCTTATTTTCTTGATCGCACAGTGCGAAACCAAAAAATCAGCGGATCCTTATTTTTGATGATCTTTTTTGGGTCAATTTGATGTTAATCGCAAGTGCAGGTCATTTCTGAACTTTGGTTATATAAAACCCGGATCGATCCGGAAAATTGAGAACCTTTTGATGATTTTTTTCGGAATTTTTGGGATTTTTTTTTTAATTTTTTTTTAATTTAACTTTTTTTGGGAAATAAAAGGCCTCACGATGTTTTGAAATTTCGTATTTTACAATTTTTATTCTCTAAAAATGATTTTTTGAAAGTTTTTTTGCGGTTTTTATAAAAAAAAATTTTTATTTTTTTATGCAAAATTGGTGGTATTTTTTACTTTTTTTTTGCTCTGAAATTCTTCAGGAGCCGTATTTTACAATTTGCTTTTTTGAAAAAAATAAAAAAAAAAATATTTTGGCCTTTTTTGAAATAAAAATTGTTCGTATTTTACAACTATTTTTTGTTCTTCCGCCGTATTTTACCTCTCAATTAGACTTCCTCCCACTTAAACCGCAATTAAACCCGATCTAAAAGCTCTTCGGATCCGGAAATCCGAAAAAAACATTCAAAATTGCCCCTCCACTTTTTCGAAACGAACTTTTCTTCCGATTTTGGAACGCATCCAAGACGCCGTTTCTTCGTTTCGGGTCATGCCCAACAAGGTGTCGCCGCTGGGCTTGGCGCACAGCGCCGAATGCGCGATCGGTGAGCGACAGCTGCACAGGAAGTTATGTTATTTATACGAAATCCCTTCGTTCGGCGGTTTTTTGGAGGGCTTTCGTCTGTCTTGTGAGGCTGTTTTCAGTTTTGAATCGATGGTTTTTTAGTTTTGTAAACGTCTTTTGAGACTTTTCATTTTTATTTTTTTTGCACTGTGCGAAAATTTTTGCTATTTTTTGCACCGTGCAAAACCCAAAAAAAACGCACAGTGCAAAAATTTTCACTTTTTTTCGCACGGTGCGAAGAGTTTAGCCAATTTTCTTTTGCACTGTGCAAAAATTTATGACTCTTTTTTTTGCACAGTGCGAAAATTTTCTCAAAAATTTTTGCACTGTGCAGATTTTTTGGACCTTGAATTTGCCTTTAGTTTTTCGCACAGTGCAAAAGTTGCCTCTAGTTTTTCGCACCGTGCAAAATTTTCGCTTCTGTTTTTGCACCGTGCAAAGTCCAATAAAAAATTCCGCACAGTGCAAAAATTTGTCATTTTTTTTTTGCACCGTACCTTTTTTTAAACCCAAAAAAATATTCCGCACCATGCAAAATTTAAAAAATCTTTCTTTTCGCACTGTGGTCTATCGGAAAAAAATTCCAAGCATTGGAAATGTTTTTGTAAAATACGTATTTTTTACACAGCTTTTAATCAATTTATTCCCGCACAGTGCGCTCCATGTTTCTTGAATTTTCATTTTCCCGCACCGTGCGGAAAATAAAGAACACTTGCAGTATGCAAATGAAAAAAAAGTTGGTCGGTAAAAGCTTCCTGGTATACTGTACTGGGACTAGGTGTTCTATTATGACTATTTTTACCACTATTTTGCACTGTGCAACCGAAATTTAGAGACTTTTTTCTTGTGCACAGTGCAATCGCTGGGTTTGGGGAAACGTGTCATAACTTTCAGCAGAAATGTGAAAACGTTTTATACTTGGTAAACTATCGTCAGATAGGACTGTTACGACTATCTTTTAAAGGATTTTTAATCTTAGCCCTTAGGGCTTGGTCTATGAAGATCTTAAATTTTGGCTATTTTTATATAAATTTTCAAGATTTTAAATCGTATTTTACAAAAAAATGTCCTCATAATGTCATCTTACCTCTTTTTCTACCATTTGGATTACTGTAATAAAAAATTTTCATCAAAATCCCGACATTTCCCGGAATTCCCCGCTCCTTTTAAAAGCGCCACCGGATCGAATTGCCGCAGGCATTTCTCTCGGCGGTCTCGGATCGGCATCCCTTTGTTTGTTTACCCATCCCACAATCATAATTTATATTCATCCTTCGATCCCATTCCATTATTGGAGCGTCACAAAAGGAAGAAGAAAAACGGGGTTGAATTGTTTTTTTCGAGCATCTCCTGAGGGGAAATCCTTGCGATTACCGAGAAAACAGAAAATTGCGGGCTGTCGCAATTTTTCTCTGATCAGGTGACGTCATTTTTATTGTAAAATTTTGAGATTTCTGAGATTTAGAATTTCGCACAGTGCAATGGGAATTTTTGAAAATTCCAGTGAGGAGGGTGGAAAAAAGTGTAAAGTAATGTTGTCTACAGCGTTGAATGGGCATTCTAATGCAGTAATCATAAAAAAATCTTTAATTTTGCCTTTGCACGGTGCAAAAATTCAATTTTGAAAACTGCACTGTGCAGATTCTTGGGTTGGATTTTTTGCATTGGGAAAACGGAATTTTTTGAAATCATTTTTAATTTTAAAATCGCATAACACAAATACCATATTCCTGAAAATTTCAGACCAAAATTCTCGCTTCTGACTGCACTGTGAACGAAATTATTTGTTGCACTGTGCAGTCGAAAGAAACCGTCTTTTCTGATCTGCACGGTGCAAGAACTTGTCGCGACATATTGGAAAAAGTGCACAGTGCAAAAACAGACCAGTTGCGATTTTTGGCAGTCAATTTTTCGCACTGTGCAGACGAAAAAAAAACTTTTTTTTGCAACGCACAGTGCAATGTTTTTGGATTCACGGAAACGATTTGTTGCACTGTGCAGCGACAAAAAAATGTCGCAAAATTTATTCGCACTGTGCAAAAAAATTATTTTCCCCATTGCACAGTGCGAAAAAATAAAAGATAAAAATTTTGCACCGTGCAGTTTCCAAAATCCAAAAAAAAAAATTTTTTTTTTAATTTTTGATCCCAAAAATGTTAGGTCGCGGCCAGGTCTCGCTCTTCTTTTCAGACTTTTTTTTGACTTTCATTTTCTGCAGCGCATCCGCAAAGAATCTTCGGAGTTCAACGCCCATTGAACCGGTCTTCAACACGCTTTCTCTTCCAGTTTTTTTTTTCTCCTTTTCACCCTTCGCCCCGGTTCCTGCTCGCGACGCTAAAGAAGAAATTTATTATAACCGTTATTCGAATTGTTTCCGCCCTTACAATACGACATAAGGGGGCAAAAAGTCAAAAACTTTACGAATTATGCAAATTTTTTGGAGATATTTGGATGTTTTAGGGGTTTTTGGGGTTGGGGAAAAATAGTGGGACACTCAAAAAAATTTTTGTTTTTTGATTTTGATGATTTTTTACTGCACGGTGCAAAAAAAATATTTTTCAAATTTTGCACAGTGCGATTGAAATTTTTTGGACGATTGCACTGTGCGCAAATGCCCTTAGGCAAAATGCCTAAATAATAAATTTTTTGGCTGCCCAATATTTACCATGGTCATAAAAATTTTTAATTTTCTTTCCACTGCACAGTGCAATTATCAAAATTTTATTTTTTGCACTGTGCAGTCAACTTTTTTGTAATTTTATCGCTATGCAGGAAGATTGTGCAATTTTTTAAGGTGCAATTTTAAAAAGGATGATGAGGAAACACATCTTACTAGATTTTTTTATTTTTTATTTCTTTGCACTGTGCAGAAATTGAAATTCAAAATTTCGCACAGTGCAGTTACATTTTTCTAAATTATTGCACAGTGCAAGAGGGATTGGTAATTTTTTTGCATTGTGCTTTGATTAATGATTGATTTTCATTCAAAACAATCCAAATTTCTACATTTTTTCTCTCTGCACAGTGCAGTTTTCGACCATCTTTTAATCCGCACAGTGCAGTCCTAAATCTTCTTTTTCTTTCTCAAATTTTGTCTCCGAAAAACAAATATCTCTCAATCCACATGATTTTTCAATTGGAATTCCCTGTTACTGTACTGACAAATTCGCCATTACCTGTCCTTTTCGAAGTTTTCTGGGTGTTTCCTCAAAAACAAAGCAATTCAACCGTAGTAAACATGTTGACAATGCTTGCTTTGAAGGTAAAAGCGTGCTTTCGTCAAATCGAATTCCTTATTTTATTGCAAGTGACAAGTGTACTAGGAAATCTTGCTATTTTGGGATATTTTTTTATTTTTTTACCGTATTAATGCAATCATTTTTTTGAATTATTGCACTGTGCAGAAATTGTCTTTCTATCTTCATTTGCACAGTGCAACGATGTCTTGGCTTTTTTTTGGCCAAATTCCTTCCGCACAGTGCGAAAAAAACAAAATTTTTCCTTTGCACAGTGCATTTTTTATCGACCTAAATTTTGCACGGTGCAATCGTGTGCTTCGAAATGGTTGCACTGTGCGCGACTTTTTTTTGACTTCTCTGCACAGTGCATCAACTTTTTTCGCCCTACATCTTGATTGCACAGTGCAAAAAATACGGACTTTTCTCTGCACAGTGCAATTTTTAAAAACGGAAATTTTGCACGGTGCAATCGCTTGTTTCCCAAATTCTTGCACTGTGCGTGACTTTTTTTGACTTCTCTGCACAGTGCATCAACTTTTTTGACCTACGCTCGATTGCACAGTGCAAAAAATACGGACTTTTCTCTGCACAGTGCAGTTCCTGGAAACGGAAATTTCGCACTGTGCAATCACTTGCTTCCCAAATTCTTGCACTGTGCGGTTATAGATATAAATTTCTTTGCGCTGTGCATGATCTTTTTTGCCCTTCTTCTTGATCAGACAGTGCGAAAACTACAAACTTTTCTCTGCACAGTGCAATTTCTAAAAACGGAAGTTATGCACGGTGCAATCGGTCATTTCCGACGTACTGCACTGTGCGTCTTTCTTTTTGATTTCTCTGCACAGTGCATCAACTTTTTTTGCCCTACAACTTGATTGCACAGTGCAAACACTATGAACTTTTCTTTGCACAGTGCATTTTTTGAAAACGGAAATTTTGCACTGTGCATTGGTTACTTTTCTAATTTTTTCATTATTCAATAATCATTTCTGATCTGGGCTCACAGTGCATAAACTTTTTTGCTCCACCTTGCTCCTCACTGCTCTGTTTTATAACCTTTTTTGATCCGCACGGTGCAATCCTCTCTCTCGAAGTTTTCCGACATAATTAACCACAGAATTTTCTGGGCTCTCCACGTAATTCCCATTCCAAATTACTCGAATTAACAGTCCCATCAACTCTTTTCTGCGGTAAATTTGTTAATTCCGAAGGTCGGAGGGTTTAGGGAAAAGAGAAAAAAATACAAAAGTCGTGTTTGTTTAGGAGATGTTCGTCATGCGAAACGAACTCTTCGACCCGGTTACGAGGGATTTAGAGGGGGATCAAGAGTAAATAGACAAGGTCCTGCTGGAAATCCACGGTTTTCGAGGGATTTGGGGCGTAATTTAGGGATTTTTTGAGATTTTTAAGGGATGAAAATTATTTTTAGGGGTAAAATACGGGATATACACAAATTCCTTCTTAAGAAGTTTAGTTTTTAGAAGAAAAATATCAAATGTTAAGCAATTTTTCGGAAAATTTTAAAAAATTTTTTGATTTTACTTCCGTATTTTGGTCAAAAATAATTTTAATAAAGTAAAAACGAGATGATTTTTTGTAAAATACGCCCACCTCCAATATTCCTTTTAAAATTTTTCAATTTTTTATTTGTATTTGCTCAACTACTTGTTCCATTTGGTCTCGAAAAATCTTCCTTTGAGAAATTAAGGTCAGTCTGAGATCATAATTTTACTGTACACTCCACTTTTCTTCTTTCTTTGTCCTAAATTCAATGGGAAAATTTTTCACTTTTTCTGCACTGTGCGGTCGGGAAAAATTTTTTGCACAGTGCAGTCTTCGCAAAAAAAATTTTGCACAGTGCAAAAATCTTGAATCGCACAGTGCGGATTTTCCGAATTTTGCACAGTGCAATTTTCGGAAAAAACTTTTCGCACAGTGCAAAGATTTTTTTGACTTGCACTGTGCGCTCGCGACAAACCTTTTTCATTTTTTGCACAGTGCAAAGATTTTTTTGCTTGCACAGTGCGCTAGCGACAAATTCCTTTGTTTTGTTTCGGCCGCACTGTGCAATGTGCAAATGAGTTTCCCACGTCGGCACCGTGCATTTGCGACAAACTTTTTTCATTTGTTCGCACAGTGCAAAAATCTTGAATCGCACAGTGCGGGTTTACCGAATGTTGCACAGTGCAGTTTTCGGAGAAAACTTTTTGCACAGTGCAAAGATTTTTTTTGGTTTGCACAGTGCGCTCGAGACAAATTCCTTTCTTTTGTTTCTGCCGCACTGTGCAAATGGGTGTCCTTTCCCACGTCGGCACCGTGCATTTGCGACAACCTCTTTCATTTTTTTGCACTGTGCAAGGACGCTTTTTCCTTCTTCTGTCCGCACAGTGCAAAAATTTTGGAATTTTCGCCCACTGATGACTGCACGGTGCAGTTTACAAAAAGTCGATTGCACAGTGCGAAAAAAAATTTTTCCGAAAATTTTAAAATACGGTATCGCCAAATAGAACAAAAGATATTTTTCTTCTACATTATAGCCAAAAAACAGCTCGTTTTGATTACTTTTCCCCATTATTTGTCAGCTCCTTCCTCATTGTTTGTACTCACGAAAATAACCTCCAAACATTATCTTAACCTGTATTTTTCGGGACCTTTATTTGATTATTTGTTTGGTACAAAAAAAAGTTTGCCTCGAGGCCAAATCGAAAGTTTTTGGAGGAAACGCAAAAATTACAAAGGAATTTTTGGCTGAAAGAGCTGGGAAATGTCGCGTTTTGTATTCGAGCAATGCGTTTCGTAAAAACATTACGGAATTTTTTGGGGAAATTTCAGAAAAAAAATTTGGTTGCATTGTGCATAGCGATGCTTAGAATTTTTTTGAGTATTCAAAAAGGGTGAAAACATTGCGAATCTGTCCTTATTTAGGCATCAACATTACTTTGGAACCTTTCCGCACTGTGCAAACGTCAATTTTCTCTTTTTTGATTTGCACGGTGCGGTTTTTTGAAAAATTTGTTTTGCACGGTACACTGGGACAATTTTAAAAAAGTCAATGTAAAACTAAAATTTAGATTATATTCTCTACCGTTCAGCCAAAAATTGTCTCATTTTGTCGTTTGCACAGTGCAAAAGACACATTTCTTTTTTTCCCGCACTGTGCAGTTTCTTTTTTAAAACCCGTTGATTGCACCGTGCAATGAGCACTTCATAAAAATTTTGACAGGGCAAATTGAAGCTCTAGAGATGTCTATCACACCGCAGAAAAATTTTTTGCAAATTTCCTCTCCGCACTGTGCAATGAGGATCTTTATTTTTCCGCACAGTGCAGTTTCTTTAAACTTTTGATTTCACCGTGCAGTGAGCACTTTACAAAAATTTTGAAATTGCAAGTTGAAGCTCGTGAGGTGTCTATCATAATGAAAAAAAAATTTTTCAGAATCTTATCTCCGCACTGTACAATGAATAAATTTATTTTTCCGCACAGTGCAGTTTCTTTAAACTTCTGACTGCACCGTGCAGTGAGCACTTCATAAAAATTTCGGCTGTGCAAATTGAAGCCCTTGAGATGTCTATCACAACGCAAAAAATTTTTTTTGCAAATCTCCTCTCCGCACTGTGCAATGAAGATCTTTATTTTTCCGCACAGTGCAGTCTCAATTTTTGATGTTTTTAGTGGTTGAACAACAAAAACTCAAATTTTCCATAGTATAGCAACCTCTTACTTACACCTATCTTCCGTAATCCGACCTGATTTTCTACAAGGTTACTGTAAAAAAACGTCGCTTTGCAGTATTTGCACAACCTCCAAGGGTCTGACGAAAATCCTCTACAATATCCGATTTCAACAATTCTCTTGTGTTTGTTCATCGTTTATAACTCAATTTTTGTTTCGTGTTCGTATCTATTTTACTATTTTTGTTATAATTTTGCACAATCTTCAAGTTTTCAACGGCTTAAATTTGGGATTTTTCAGTGGAAGCGGACGCAGCGAATGTGACATTGAGCGACATGGGGCTGAACAAGGTTTGGGTCATCCCATTGTTCACTTTCATCTTCTCTTTGGCGGCGTTTTTGGTCAGTTATGTGATGGCCGCATCGCTTGGCCATGTCTCCACTTTTTGGCCATATATCAGGTAAAATACGTTCGATGTCCTATATATCCAATTATTTGTGTATTTCTTCTATTTGCGATCAGAAATGGACAAATCCCGGGCGCAGCCTGCGCAATTTTCAAAAAACCTAGGGCGCGAGCTGCGGAAAAAAATACAAAATATTTGGTAGAAAGTTCAAATATGCTCTATTTACAACTGTGACTTACTTTTCTCTCCTTTAAAATACCAATTTTACTTTGATATTTTTTTAAGTTAGGGCGCGAGCTGCGGAAAAAATTCGGTTTAAAATACGTCGTTTTCCATTTTGCATTTTTTTAAGTCTTTGACGGACAGAAAAAATGTTTTACTATTGGTTTTCACCGTTTTCTTGAAGTTCTCTGCCACCTAGGGCGCGAGCTGCGACTTAAAAAAATTAAAAAAAAAAAATTTTTTTTTGATGGTTACAAAAAATAATAAACAACAACTCGTGCCGTATTTTAAACTGTCAATTTTTGAATTTGTAGACTATTTTTCAGCGAAGCGAGGGCGCGAGCTGCGACTTAAAAATCCCAAAAAAGCTGGGAAATTTAGAAAAAATGTGTGGATTTAGAATGTAGAGAAAAGAAAATAACTTTAAAAATTTATTTTTTAAAATACGACCCTTTTTCCGACCAGTTTTGACCTTATTTTAGTGATTCCGGCGCCTTTCCTCCCGAAAGTTGCGTCTTCGGCCAACTTTTGAACATGGCCGCCCTTTTCCTGGCCATAACCGTCTATCTCCGCCACCGACAGATCGTCGAGTTCTACTGGCATCGCTTCAAACAGGTGGGGCGATGGCGCAACGTCAGCTGCGGCCTGCTTTGGCTCGGCTACACCTCCGCGTTCGGGGTCAGTATGGTCGCCAACTTCCAGGAAAACCACGTCATCTACGTCCATTATGCCGGAGCGTTGCTGGCGTTCGGCTGTGGCTTGATTTATACGTGGGCGCAGACGGTTTTCAGCTACATGATGAACCCCAAGTTGGCGAGACCGATCGTGTCGCATGCCCGTTTGGTGTTGTGCTTGTTGAGCTCGGTGTTTTTTGTTTCGAGTAAGTGGGTTTTGAGGGTGAAGGGGTGAAATAGGAGGAATAAAATTTATTTTTTAGATTAAAAAAATAAAATAAAAATTTCTTTTTAAAAAATTTTTCAAACAAAAATATCAGATTTTTGCGGATTTTTTAAAAATTTTTTGGAATAAAAAAAATAGGAGAAATAAAATTTAGATTTAAAAAAAATTTTTAAGAATTTTTTAAACAAAAATATCAGATTTTTGCGGATTTTTTTTTATTTTTTAATTTTTTTGCAATAAAAAATTATAATTTTTTTAAAAAAAGTTTCAAAGTTTTGTAGAGTTTTAAACCAATTTTTTGATTTTTTGCGTTTTAAAATATTTTTTATTAAATTTATGTTCCACGATTAAATGTAAAATACGTGTTTCTATGATTGAAATTAAAATTGGAAGTTTTTTGAGGTTTTTGGGAAATTTTTAACCTTTAAAAAATTAAAATTTTGAGATTTTTTGGGACAAATTCGGGTTGTTGTACGATTTCCTTGTTTTTTGGGAATCTTTTTTTTAGATTTTTTTTAAAAAATTAATAAATCAAAAGTTATGTCGGATTTAAACTTGAGTGTAAAATACGTGGTACCAGATTTGATGACTTTTTTGAAATTGAAAAACGGTTGACTTTGTATTATTTTCAGTGGTGGTATTTGGCCCGATCCTTGGCCGACAACCCAAAAGTGCGGATGAATTGGATGGGCAAGAAGGGTTCTACAAGTGGAGTGGGCATGAACCTGTAAGTCCAAAATTGTGTTTTGCGTTAACATTCCGTATTTTACAAATTTTCTCTTGAATTCTCAGCAGTATTTTTGTCCTAAATTGATTTTTTTGCCACAAATTTAATTTAGCTTTGAAAAATATTATTTTTTTGTCCATATTTTACCCAAAAAAATAATTTTTTAAGCCATAAAATTGATTCTTTTTTTTTTTTTTTTTTTTTTGTATTTTAGCTTTTAAAAATAAATATTTTTCGTATTTTACCCAAAAACTACTGAATTTTACACTAAAAAATCACCGTATTTTGTCTTTGAAAACCTGTTGCCTACATTTTGGAATTAGTATTTTACACTCAAAAATATTATTTGTAAATTTGAAACCCATAAAATAGCTTCTTTTCATTAAAAAAAAAAAAAAATTGATTTTTTCAAAAAAAAAAATTACCCGCATTGTTTCCAGAACTACGTGGAACACATGATCGGGACCTGCTCGGAATGGCTGCTCGCCATCTGCTTCCAAATGTACATCCTCAGCTTCGCGATCGAGCTGCGCCACGCCTACTGCCACGCCCCCAAACTGAAGCTGATCGCGTTCCTGGACGGGGAGGAGAGCGCCGTCTCCACGGACGTGTTCGACTGCTGTGTGGTGCCGGCCAAGATCCTGACCGGCGTCAACCCGCGCCATCACGAGGAGTCCAGCTCCGACGATGACTATAAACCCGCCACAACGGAGGAGTCGAGAGAGAGTTTCCGCCGATTCAATGAGGACATTGAACCGACTCGGGTCAGTGTCAAAATGTGAGGTGCGACAAGAGGAATTTAAAGGAGTCTTCAAAGATTTTTTCGCCAAAAACGAATCAAAAAAGATCAAAATGCCATTTTATCAAAAACTCTTTCAATTTTCGTCTATTTGCCATCGATTAATGATATTTTTGTCGGATTTTTGAATATTCAAATTAAAATTTTTTTTTGAAATTATCAAATTTCTCATAATTTTCACTTGATTTTTTGAGTTTTTGATAATTTAGATATTAAATTTAAATTTTTTTGAAATTTGAATATGCAAATTTTGATAATTTTTGTTTTTTTAAAATTTGCATAATTTTAAAAATTACCATTTTTTCTGATTTTTGAGGTTTTGGAAAAAAATTAATTTTTTGAAAATTTCAAATATTCAAATTAAAAAAATTATCAAAAAAATTTGCATAATTTTTTTCATTTTTTAAAATGCAAATTTTGAAATTTTTTCTTCATAAAAATTTGCACCCTTCCAAAAATATGCAAATTTTATTACTTCCCTCCGCTCTAGTCACTGTCCACACCATTGTAAAGCATAATTTGATATCCATTCTTCATCTCCATTAGTAATTCCGAGCGCAATTTTTTTTGTTTTAGCCACTCGATTTACGTGTATTTTGCAAATCCCGATCTTACTCTCTTCAACACGTTGTATTTACCGTCCATTTTTTCCATTGTGTTTCTTTTTTTGCCGTTTTTTATTTCCGCACCGTGCGAAAATTTTTTGGAAAACTCTGCACTGTGCAGTGACAAAAAATTTTTTCGCACAGTGCAGAATTAAAAATTTTTTTTTAAAACTTGCTTTATCGTCGCTAAAGAATTAAAATTTACTATGTATCTTTACAATACCATTTACCATACACTGTCAAGATTGTAATTTGAAAATTTCTTCGGGTTAAATAAAAAAAAGTTTTGAAATTTTTCGATTTTTTTTTGAAATTTTTTCAAAAATATAAACTAAAAATTTGTGGAAACCCCAAAAAGTTGGTTTTTAATACATTTTTGTCATTTTGAATAAAAATAAATTCCATTTTTGGTCATTTGTTTTGAGTGTTCGGCCAGAAATCGGTCGCACCGTGCATTCCCAAAAAGAATGGCCGATTTGAAAACGGCGAAAAGCTCGAGTGAGCCGAGCACGGCCAAGGAACGACAGACTATTTCGTTTATGAGTACCAGTTCATTCGGCTCCCGACATGTGGATCATGCGTCGCCGCAGTAAGTTTAATTTTTTGCACAGTGCAGTCTAAAGTCCAATTTCTTTTTTTTCTTTTTTTTTTTTTTTAACACTCGGCAATGCAATTCTGCACAGTGCAATAGAAATTTTTTTGGTCGGAAATTTTTATTTTGCACAGTGCAATCAAAAAAAGTTAAGCCTTTTTGCACTGTGCAATCGGCAATTCAATTCTGCACTGTGCAATCAAAAAGAAAGTTCAGTCTTTTTGCACTGTGCAATCGAAATTTTTTGGTCGGAAATTTTTATTTTGCACTGTGCAATACAATTTTTGATATCCGCACTGTGCAGTCTGAAATTGAATTCTGCACAGTGCAGTCAAAACTTCATAATTTTTTGCACTGTGCAATCGAAATTTTGGTCGGAAATTTTTATTTTTCACAGTGCAACCAAAAGCTGTTTTCCGCACAGTGCAATCCAAATTTTTGATTTTTGCACTGTGCAGTCAGAAGTTCAATTCCACACAGTGCAGTTAAAACTTTTTTTGCACTTTGCAGTTGAAATTTTTTGGTTGAAATTTTATTTTTGCACAGTGCAGTCCAATTTTTGATTTTCCGCACCGTGCAACCCAGGTTTTTGATTTGCGCACTGTGCAGTCAGAACTTTCTATTTTTTTGCACTGTGCAATCGAAATTTTTTGGCCGCAGATTTTGATTTTCGCACTGTGCAATCAAAAATTAAATTCTGCACAGTGCAGTCAAACCTTTCAATTTTTTGCACCGTGCAGTTGAAAATTCTTGGTCGAAATTTTATTTTTGCACAGTGCAGTCCAATTTTTGATTTTCCGCACCGTGCAACCCAAGTTTTTGATTTTCGCACTGTGCAGTCCAAATTTTTCAGTTTCGCACAGTGCAGTCGGAAATTAAATTATGCACAGTGCAGTCAAAACTTTATAATTTTTTGCACTGTGCAATCGAAATTTTTGGTCGGAAATTTTTATTTTGCACAGTGCAATCAAAAAATGCTTTCCGCACAGTGCAATCCAGATTTTTGATTTCCGCACTGTGCAATCTAAAAATCCCAAAAATTTCATTTCATATTTTTAGAGTCCGTTTCAACGTCTCCCTCCTTGTCCTGGCATCCATGGGAGTGATCGTAGTCCTAATCCAGTACCTGTTCTACTGCGATTCCGCCTTCACTACTCTGGTTGGGACTCTGACGGCTTTATTTATTGCATTCTTTGGCTACGAGTGGGTTTGGGTTCATTCGAATGCGTTGACGCGTCATCGGAGAGCTCACTTTGATGAAGCCAACATTCTGGAGACATACCAGCCGAGGGCGCGGACGTTGGGACATCTTTTCCAGGTAAGGTTATATTGTAGTAGGTGATTTGGGAAAAAATGCGGAATTTGTGATAAAAATTATGAGAAATATTGGGGAAGTTGATATTGTTAGAAGCTATGAGGCCTGTAGAATCGATAAAGATCAAAATTTTTGCTTCAAGATTACTGTAATTTCAGCCAGATCCACCAACTCCGGGAATGGTAACTATCAAAGATGGCGACGCTCCCGAACGCACCGAATCCGAAAAAGCCGCGTTCAACGCTGTTCGAGACTCTGTAAGCTTATTCCGAAAATTTTGGAGCAAAATATTCACTCTGTCTTACTGTAATTTCAGCACTACGCCAACATGTTCCAACACGCGATGCAAGTGGCCAAAGAGCAAGAAGCCATGGAAAAACAGCCCCAAACCTCGTCCGGAAGTCAGAGTGAAAGTTCCAGCACCGCCACCGCCAAACCCGCGGAGAATCAGCAGTACGAGAACATAGATAATATGCCGGATATCGCCAAAATCCCGCCTCCACCCGATGGGGAGAAAAAACTCTAGGATTTTAATTTTATATGGCTTGAATATGGCGTATTGCAGATAAATTTGGCATTTATTTGGAGATGAAATGGTTTTAAAGAGTGCACTGTGTAGTTTGGTTTTTTGCACTGTGCAGTGGAAAAAAGTTAGGTGAATTATAACGCAGCGAAAACTTGGGAGGCTAAAATTAGAATGTGTATAGTGTTTTTAGGTCGTCTTTCCATAATATACGACTTCATTTTATTATTACCAAATTTTGAACGCCTAATTATGCAATCAAAATTTTTGCACTGTGCAGTGGAAAAAAGTTGATGGTTTGAAAAAGAAGAGCAATTTTTAAACTCAAATAACACTGTTTATAGTATGTTCAGAACGTACATGAATAATGAATGGCTTTATTTTATTATCACCCAACTTTGAACGCCGCATTGTGCAGGAAAAATTTCTGCACTGTGCAAAGCAAAAAATCTTAATTTTTGGTGGCAAAATTGTTTTTAATTATAAAATCGTCTTTTTATTATTACCTAGAGAATACTTTTTACCCCTACACTGTCCAATTAGGCCATTTCTACTCGATGTTTTAATTCCACGTCCACCTCACTCGGGTCCCAGCACGAAAACAAGCGTCGCCATGGCTGCACGCCACATCTCCCTTTTTCTCTCTGTTTTCTCTGCTTCCCCGGGTTTTCTCTGCGTACGTGAGCGCTGCTTTTGGTCCCGCTTTCACAACATTCATTCCCCGTTCACCACCTCCCATCCACAACGCACAGTTCGCTGGACCCGCACTTCCATCTTGTACTTGATATCAGAAGGCAAGACGCGATCGATTTTAATGGGCTTGGCGTCCGCAAATTCATATGGCATTGGTGTTTCGGGTGGTGTTGCTATATGGTCTATGGGTGGAGATGAGTAGGATGCCTTTGGAAATGGTTGTAATGACATTGCTCTTGGTCCGCACCTGGACCGTGCGATCTTTTGATGGGCGCTTGAATGGGTTCGGCTGAATGGCCATAGATTTGGTTCGATCGCGACGAATAGGACATGTAGACGAATTTCCCGTGCTAGGATTTGGCTATTTCGCGTGGTTTGGTTTGGTTTTTGGTTGGCCCCAAAAATTGGTTGGAGCTCTTGGAAAACGAGCGAATTTGGCACAGTCCGGCATGAAGTGGTCTTGATGCTGGTGTGGGAAAGCAAGAGCAATGTGTAATTGTCCTTTTCAACATGGTCTTGGGCTTGAATATTGGAAATGTCTTGGATTTTGGACCAAAATAATGTTCCCCTTGGTGTTTTTGGATGGTCATGGTGAATTTTGGAGAAAACTGACCCTGTAACTGCTTGGCCTTCGTCTAGAGCCCTTGCTTGACTTGTATATGACCCTTTGAATGAGTTTGGGATATGGAATGGTATGGAAATGGCCTGGTCTTGGTGAAAATTGCTGGGATGGTCATGGTTTATATGCTATTGTAAGATTTTCTCCGTGTTCACGTTGAGTTTACCGTCGTTTTGCGATCCATTGCCAACAACAGGTCTAATACTACATTTGTCGTGATTTGCAGCTAACATTACCAAGTTTTTGTATTGAATTATATTGTTTTAGGCATCAAACATGTCCCCTTCGCCATCTGCTCGTTCTCGAAGCCGTTCTGCTTCTCGCGAACGCCCGTCGAAGAGAGAAAAACGTCACAGATCGAGAACTTACTCTCGGTCTCCATCGCCCACAAAGTCCAACCGCCTTCACATTGCCAACATTGATGAGTCGATCAGAAAGCGGGATATCGAAGACGCGTATGGAAAGTTCGGAAAATTGGCTGATATTTGGGTGGCTTCGTATCCTCCATTCTATGCCTTCGTCGTCTACGAGCATGCGGATGATGCTGCGGCAGCTTTGAAGGTAAGGGTTTAAAAATTTATATTGTCCTTGGTTTTTAGGCGAAGCTTGGAAATAGTTATGGAAATGGATGATGTTTCAGACCTTTCTTGATTTTATTAGATGCATTGGGAGGATTCTTCCTGGAATTAGGTGTTTTTTACCAAAATTTTGATAAAAGGACAAGTTTATATTATACTTGGTACACCTCAATGGAATGTACCAAAGCACTTGATATACGTGTTGGTTTACGTCTAAAACAGTATTACTAGATGCGCAGTAGACTGCTTGAGCTCTTAACAGCATTTTTTGAATTATTTCCGGGCTGAACCTTTACTTCTGGTCACTTATATTATCCATGGCATGAGCAATATAATTTCTTAATAATTTCAGGAAATGAAGTCTGGATACGTTCGGGACTGCCACATCCGCACATCAATTGCTCTGCCAAGGAACAGCGGCCGCCGTGGACCACCACCTCGTCGCTTCGGCGGCGGTGGATACGGAGGCGGATATGGAGGCGGCCGTCGTTCGCCTTACAGCCGTCGTTCTCGCTCTCCTCGTCACTCCAGACGTCGCTCCCCATCACCACCTCGTCGCTCCCGCTCTCCTCGCCGCAGAAGACGTTCGTCGTCCGGCTCTCGCTAAGGCAAACACCTACTTTCCGTCTAAGTTAATACCCAATATCTGAAATTGTCCGAGAGTCCCCCCTCTTCGATTGTTTGTTGCCCCAATGTTATTCACAGAGCCGCTTCCGGCTCTTCTCCATTTCTCTTCTATTTCAACAAAAGATAATTTCTTGAAGTTACAATAACTTTTACTCCATTGTTAGCACCACAATTTATTATTAAGTATTCACTATAAATCCGTTTCCAGAAGACCTGTTTCCTTTTTTCGCGTCGAAACCGGCACTTCGGTCCCCGGAGGCACTGCGGCTGGCTCGGGTTGGGCACTTGGGAAGGTTGTGGAAGTTGATGTTGTAGTAGGCAAAACTGGGTCAGTCGATGGCGGAGGGGCTGGCAGATCCGATGAAGAGCTACTATCTGACTGTTTCTCGGCTTCAGCCTGCTTTAGACTCGGTTTCGGGGCAATTGCAGGCTTTGGATTGATGGGTAATATCGGATCTGCCGATTTTTCTTCATTTTCTTTGGCTGCAACCGTCGATGAAGAACTCGGGCCAACTGTTTGGTCCTCCGAGACATTCCTAGCCTCCTCCACTTTGTTTGGTACCGAATTTGACGGGGATTCCGCCTCAATTGCGGTCGATTTGCTCAGCTGAACGGGCTGCGTTCGTCTCCGCTCTGGATTTTTATTCCGCCGAGCGCATGGCGCGGAAATCGCACCACTGTTGGAGAAGCGATCACTGCTTGTGGAGCGTCGACGGGAGACATAATCGATCACGTTTCCGGCCTCAGGCGTGGTTGGACTTATGGAGTGGTCTTGGGAGGAAAAACTGTCCAGGGATGGAAGACGGTTGCGATGGACCTGAAATGGAGTTTCGATTAGTAATTTGGAGCTCATAGGTAAGATAATAGAGGAATTTGTGTTAGTCTGAGATCAAAATTTAGGTTGAAACAGAGAAAAATTAAATTTTGACCTAAAATAAGGTCGGTTTATGACTTTTTGATGTGTTTTAGTGTTTGAAAATGATTTTACTGGCATCTGTAAGGTGGGAAACAAACTGAAAGAACTATTCAAGGCTTGTTACTGAGAAAATTTGACAAAAATAACCTTATTTTAGGTAGCTTGGACTGAAATCTTGTTGTTACTCTTATTTCTGACAGATTTCTTTGATTTTTGTTACCTAATATAACTTTAAATCCTGTAACCCACCAAATCAATTGATTTTCGCGCCCTCAACGAGTCTGTAGATCTTCTTGTCGGCTTTCCTTTGATATCCGGACTTCCCTCTTTGCTGTCCTCTCCATAGTTGTTGTAATTCGCGCCTGCTGGGGTTTGTTGAACATTCCTCATAGTCAAAGTGTACGGGATCTCGCCGTTGAGCAAGTGCAGTTTCTTGAGATCCGGGCGATCCTCGCTTTCCACCGATATTAATGTAGGGAACGGGACTTCCTTCCGTTCTTTGCCCTCGGACAGAAATGCCAGCTGATTGGCGTCGTTGAGGATGCTTTCCAACGGTTCTAGAAGCTTGGCGGCGTCGGATTTACTCGAATTCTTCTCGGTTTTGATCAAGATGAGCGTGTCCTTGTCCGAATAACTTGTACTTGTTCTTTCGGTCACCGAAAAAGTTCCACTGCTTGGTCCGGCCGTCTCGGCCAACCGCGAGCTCTGAGATTCGTCCTGTTTCACGGTGGACACACTACATTGTCCGGGCCGATCGAAGATCGCGTAGATTTTCTCGGAGATCTTCTCTGGCGCCGGTTTTCCCTTATCTAGCAAGTCCTTCGGTTTCGGCGGAACCGCCGGTTTCTCCGGCTTCACGTCCACACCCTGCGGAGTTAGCACCACATTTTGTCGAGTAATGATCTTCCCCGGCAACGGGCCGGACGGGTTGAACGGTAAACTCGGGTTGTTTATATGGCCCGATATTGTAGTAGCCGTACTGCCGGCCGGAATCGAGGCCGAGGTCGTGTTGTAGGTGGTGTGATAAGCAGCACTAGTTGAAACATGACCAGCATAGATGGGGGAGCGCCGTTCCGCATCGATATTCGATATAAATGGGCGGAACGAGGAGTTCTCGGACTTGATCACAACCGGCCCACTGCTCGCCGCCTCCGGATCGAACGTTGATGGGCGACCGACCACAGCCCCCGCCGTTCCTCCCTCCTTCGGCTTTATGAAAATGGGCTTTCGGATCGGGGTGGGCGGAGAGTTGGAACTCAAAACGACCGGTCGAATTATCGTGCTCGTGGAAGTGGTTGATGTGACGGGAGCCGTCCCAGCGGCCGTCGAACTTGTCGTAACGTACATGTTGATGCATGTTCCAACACTCGCGACCGGCGGGGTGGGCTCTTTGGGAGGAGGGCAGTCAATCGGCACGGGGATGTTGTCCTTGCACCGTGCGAAACCCGCCCGCACCTGACTCGCATTCATCGTTAAAATCCGGTTCGATTGACGAGCTGGCGCCGAGACTGACGATATCCGACAGTCGGAGTAGTTGCTGGAGTCGTCGTCACTCGAATCTTTGTTGGTTGGACGGACTGGCTTGGTTGAGGCTGAAAATTGGCGGTTTTAGTGGATTTCGCGTGATTTTTTATGTTCATCTAGTTCGATTTGCTTTTAAAATAGCTTGTACTGTCTTCTAGATGGCAAAAACATCTTGAGTATTCAGGTTTATAGAGGTAGGATCAATCCAAAATAGAAGAAAAAATTTCCCGCCCCCTTTTTGGTGATTCGTTCAAAACGAAATGTCACTATCCGATAAAACTCATTTTCTTATCTTTATTCTTCCTTTTCGAGAAAACGCAATTATTTCGGGCGAGGAAAAGTGCCGATAATTTCCCGACATTTTCGAAACGGTTCAGGAAATGCTCTTGCTTGACGTGGGACCTTGTTTTAGACAGATTTTGGCCAAAACCCTTAATTTTCTCCCAAAAATATCTAAAATAAGGTGGAAATGGTATGAAACCGTCTCCAAACTAGTCATTTAGTTTGACAAGGTTTTTAAAACTTACGTTTGACCTTTTTGACGATGACATTTCCCACTCTTTTCGTCGTAAAAGTGGTCGAATACACTCTGGGATCGGTCGCATTCGAGTAGGTTGTTGCGACGTCGGATTGACTTGAATTCTCCTCCAACCGATAAGATCCTTCGCTGATGTTGTCCCGGCTTTGGTTTAGGAAGTTCTCTCCGCTCGCGCTCTTGCTCGGATAGGCTTTGTCCACTCGGACCTAAAGTAATATAAATATAATAGTCCCATTTTTTCTCCGATTTTCCTCCAAAATCCCACCTGGAACTCCCTACAAATCACTTTGATGTCCTCTCCGAGCACATTCGGCAGCGACACACTCATCGGGTCGGGTTCGGCGGAGGTGCTGGGGTTCTGATTGTAGACAACCTTGTTCCCGTTATGCTCCAATCTCTCCGATTTCGGTTCGTATTCGCTCGAACAGGCGCGATCCTCCCGCACATATTCCGAAGTGGGCCTACTGTGTGCGGACTTGGGGCGTTGCGCCACTTTCACCGTCTTTTCTTCGGCCAGTTTCTGCGCCGAGAGCCGGCGTTGGCGGATGTTCTCAATGTCTTGGGAGGCCGTGACGGGTTGGTAGGGGATGGAGGAGTCGCGGGTGGCGTCTAGGACGTGATGGATGCTTTGGCCGCGAGGTGTGACACTTGGGCGGATCAGGCTGAAAAAGGATTTTGTGGGGTAAAATTCAGAAATGGACATTATTTTTCCAAGAGCTGATAAAACTTGACGTTTTTCATCCCTAAAATCTTTCATATAAGATTTCACGTTTTTGTCCATAATTTTTAAAGTTTATAAAACTTCACGTTTTTCATCCCTAAAGTTCAAAAATTCATAAAATTTCACGTTTTTCATCCCTAAGGTTCAAAAATTCATAAAATTTCACGTTTTTCATCCCTAAAGTTCCAAAATTCGCCAAATTTCACGTTTTTGTCCATAATTTCGAAAACTCATAAAATTTCACGTTTTTTATCCCTAAAGTTCCAAAATTCATCAAATTTCACGTTTTTCATCTCTAAAATTTCTAAAATTGATAAAATTTCACGTTTTTCGTCCCTAAAATCCCAAGTTCCACCCTATTTCTAGTCCTCAACTCACCGTTCGAAAGGCTCTCTCCGTTTGTGATGTTCTCTAACATAGTCGATGAGTTGTTTTTGTGTCCTCCCATGATATCGAAAGGAAGATCCTCGGGAGAAGAACTTAGACTCCTTCTTGGGATCGGGTTGAACGTCGATGCAGCGGAAGAAGGCGTGATGTTCGACGCATTTCTTCCAAAAGTTTTTGCATTCATTTCGATTGTCGAAGATGAATTCTGCGGTTTCCTTTTGGAATTGCTGGAAAAAAAAACGAAACTTTTTATTGTTTTTTGTTAAAAAAAATTAATTTTTTCGATGGCGAGCTGCGCCCAGAGTTATAAAACTATACGAATTTATCACTGGCGTATTTTACAAAACTCATAAATGACATTTTTTTACAAAATTTGCTGATTTTACTCGATTTTTCAAAAATTAATGATTTGGCGAGCTGCGCCCGAGGTTATGACTAAAAATCTGGCTTAAAACCGCGAATTAAAGCCATGCGTATTTTACAAAACTCATAAACGAGAATTTTTTACTCAATTCGCAGATTTTACTCTATTTTTCGAAATTTAACAATCTGGCGAGCTGCGCCCGAGGTTATGACTAAAATCTGATTAAACTGGAGCGAAAACATTACTGATTACTTTATGAAGAATTATGCAAAAATAAACGACACTTTTTTCGAATTTATCGAACGTTTTAATCTATGGCGAGCTGCGCCCACACTTAAATCAAAAATCCCGCGGAATTCAAAAATAAAGTTGTTAGATTTTATCCACAGCTTGAGTAGTTCATAAAAATATCAAATTCAACTTACATATGGATCCGGATGCAGTTTTACCATCAACTTTTTCCGTTTGAACGACAACTTTCGGATTTTGGCCCAAGAAAAGGTGGAGGCACAATTCAAATGCTGAAAGACTTTGATTCCCATATGAGCAACTGACAAGGCAATGTCCGTGCCTTCCAGATCCTTGGCCTGATGCAGTTTTATCCCGTAGAAGTCGCAGCGACGCGCCGTCTCCAATAAGGCCAGGTCCGCGTCCGCCGGGGTCATTCCGCTAAAAAAAGGATGATTATTATGGAGGAAAATAGATTTTAGCGACATCAAAAGTACTTATAAGAAAGGAAGGATGGTCTGGCAGAGTTAATTTACTCGTATTTTAAAACGATTTTTTTCTGGAAAAAACATCAAAATTTTTGATGAGAAATGTAAATTTAAGTGGTTGTATCTCGATGGGTTCTATATAATGTGGTCCCAAACTTTTGTAGATACTGTAGTATGCCTTAGACTTTGCCTTTGCCAAGTATTGGCCAAGAAACGCTTTTAATTTTTCGAAAAATTGCCGAAAACCTTGAAATTTTTGGATTTTATGGCAAAAAAACTTCAAAAAGTATCCATTTTCCACCAAAAAATCAGCTTTTAAAATTTTTTATAGCTTGATAAGGTCTTTGAAGTATTTTTCACTTCATGAAATGTAAAATAGGGAGTAATTTTTTTTTAAATCATAATTTTTTGGGAGTTTTTGGCGAAAAACTTCAAAAAGTATCCATTTTCCACCAAAAAATCAGCTTTTAAAATTTGTTATAGCTTGATAAGGTCTTTGTAGTATTTTTTCACTTCATAAAGTATAAAAATGGAAAGTAATTTTAAAAAAATCGTAAATTTTGGGACTTTTTGGCGAAAAACTTCAAAAAGTATCGATGTTTCACCAAAAAATCTGTTTTTCAAACTCATTTTATACCTTGATAAGATCTCTGGGGCATTTATGACTTCATGAAATACAAAAATAGAGAGTAATTTTTTAAAAAATCGCAAATTTTTGGATTTTGTGGCAAAAAACTTCAAAAAGTATCCATTTTCCACCAAAAAATCAGTTTTTAAAACTCATTTTATAGCTTGATAAGGTATTTGAAGTATTGTTCACTTCATGAAATACAAAAATAGAGAGCACTTACACCAATTTCTTGTGATTTTCCATGACTTTCATCTGGAAGGCGGTGGTCTGATGGGGAACGAAACTTGTGACACTCAAATACGTGTGATCCGGGTAGTCCTCGGCCGAATAGTCGCCGCACTCGGCCTGAACAATGAACGAAGCCAGTAATGCGGCGGTGTTTTCGTTGCACACGAACTCGCCGTGGGCGAGGTCGCGGCGCAGCTGAAGGGAGAGCAGATATCGGGTGTACTCCTCCTCCAGCTCGGCCGGATTCGGGGTGTAGAACTTGACCACGAAGTAGAAACGAGCGTCGCTCTGTGCGACCGTGATTTGGCGCAGAATGGACTTGTCTTTGTCCAGCCAGCACTGAAAGTCGGGCAAGTGTAATATAAATTTGGAAATTTTGGGGTGTAAAATTAGGATGTAGGGGTTTAAAAAGCTCATAAATGGCTTTTAAAAAGCTTCTGAGATACTAATTACGTAAAAATTAAAGATTTTTAGGACCGAAAATGCCTAGTGTAATATAAAATTTTTTTGATTAATGGTAAAATACGGCCAAAAATGCTTAGTAATACCCTTCAAAAGTCTCAAAAATAACAATAGCATCATTTTAATAATAAAAAATGATTCAAAACTTACTCGAGCACTGAAACTCGGGCAAGTGTAATATAAATTTGGAAATTTTGGGGTGTAAAATTAGGAGGTAGGGGTTTAAAAAGGTCAGAAATGGCTTTTAAAAAGCTTCTGAGATATAATTTACTTAAAAATTAAAAATTTTTAGGATCAAAAATGCCTAGTGTAATATAAAAAAATTTTGATTAATGGTAAAATACGGCTAAGAAGCATCTAAAACCCTTAGTAATACCCTTCAAAAGCCTCAAAAATAACAATAGCACCATTTTAAGGATAAAAATGATTCAAAACTTACTCGATTCCCGTAGCCATCCAAAAATTCCAGACCGAAATAGTCACTCTCCAGCAAGTTTAGATGTCTGCACACCTCATCGAATAACGCCTGGCCATTTGCACGATGCTAAAAGGCGAGAAAATTTAGGGTAAAATATGTCTGCTTAATTGTTGATTTTTGCACAGTGCGAAATTTTTCGAAAAATCTGCACTGTGCAGGAAATTTCCGAAAATTCCGCACAGTGCAAAGGAAAAAAGATTTTTTCGCACAGTGCAAAAATTATATTTTTTTTTGCACAGTGCGAGGTTTTTCGAGAAATCCGCACGGTGCGAAGTCACAAAAAAAAAATTTTTGCACAGTGCTGAAATTACAATTTTTTCGCAAAAAATCTTTTTTGCACTGTGCAAGGAATTTCCGAAAATCCCGCACGGTGCAAAAAAAAAATGATAAAATCCGCACGGTGCAAAGTCAAAAAAAAAATTAATTTTCGCACAGTGCAAAAATTTTTTAAAAATCTGCGCTGTGCAAGGAACTACAAATTTCCGAAAATCCCGCACGGTGCAAAAAAAAAATGATAAAATCCGCACGGTGCAAAGTCAAAAAAAAAATTAATTTTCGCACAGTGCAAAAATTTTTTAAAAATCTGCGCTGTGCAAGGAACTACAAATTTCCGAAAATCCCGCACGGTGCAAAAAAATGATAAAATCCGCACGGTGCAAAGTCAAAAAAATTTTCGCACAGTGCAAAATTTTTCGAAAAATCTGCACTGTGCAAGGAACCACAAATTTCCGAAAATCCCGCACGGTGCAAAAAATAACGAAATTCGCACGGTGCAAAATTTTTTAAAAAATCTGCGCTGTGCAAGAACTTTTCGACAAGTCCGCACGGTGCAAAGTCAAAAAAATTTTCGCACAGTGCAAAATTTTTCGAAAAATCCGCACTGTGCAAGGAGCTACAAATTTCCGAAAGTCCCGCACGGTGCAAAAAATGATGAAATTCGCACGGTGCAAAATCAAAAAAAATTTGCACAGTACAGAATTTTTCGAAAAATCCGCACTGTGCAAGAACTTTTCGACAAGGCCGCACGGTGCAAAATCAAAAAAATTTTTTGCACAGTGCGAAATTTTCCGAAAAATTCGCACTGTGCAAGGAACTACAAATTTCCGAAAATCCCGCACGGTGCAAAAAATGATGAAATTCGCACGGTGCAAAATCAAAAAAAAAATTTGCACAGTGCGAAATTTTCCGAAAAATCCGCACTGTGCAAGGAACTATAAATTTCCGAAAATCCCGCAGGGTGCAAAAAAATTATAAAATCCGCACGGTGCAAAATCAAAAAAAAATTTGCACAGTGCAAAATTTTAAAAAAAATCTGCACTGTGCAAGAACTTTTCGACAAGTCCGCACGGTGCAAAATCAAAAAAAATTTTCGCACAGTGCAAAATTTTTCGAAAAATTTGCACAGTGCAATTAACTATAAATTTCCGAAAATCCCGCACGGTGCAAAAAATTCTACAATCCGCACGGTGCAAAGTCAAAAAAAAATTAATTTTCTCACAGTGCATAATTTGTCGAAAAATCTGCACAGTGCAAGAACTTTTCGACAAGGCCGCACGGTGCAAAATCAAAAAAAATTTTTGCACAGTGCAAAATTTTTCGAACAATCTGCACAGTGCAAAGATAAAAAAGTTTCAAAAAAAGTAAAAATTCGATTAAAAACCATGCTGTAACTCACTCCCAAATGAAAAACAGCGACAGTGTCGTCGAGCATCCGGACCTTGATGCACATCAGCTTCCCTTTCCTGGGGTCCATGCCGGGCGGGGGCACAGCGCCCACTCCTTGCGGGATTCTCGAGGCTACTGGCTTTTGCATGGTGTTTACAGCCTATAAAAACAGTACATTAGTCTTTGCCACGATTTTTGAGACCATAAAATATGATTTTGGACCATTTTTTGACTAAAATAAGTTCAACTTTTTCATGGGTAATATAATTTTTTCCCATTTTTTATCCAATTTTGGCCTCTAAATGCATTATTATGACAGGACATATCTAATGGCAATTATTTCAAAACCGTATTTTACCCAAAAATTGCTAAAATACGAAAAAAAACTTCAAAAAATCGAAAAATCGCCGAAAAAATAGTAATTCCTCCCCGATTTGACACGCTTTTAACGCCCGAGTCCCGAAGAAATTTGCAAACAAACCCAGGGCCCAGCTTGAAGTCATTAATTTTGTCAAATCAAATGTGTTCGGGACTTGTTCTGGATCGGAAAATCGCAAAAACGAGGGATTAATGGGCATAATTAGCGGAAATTTATGGCCAAAGTGACGTGAAAGGCTGTTTTCAGAGTAAAATACGATACACAGGTCTATACGTGTCCAAAAAATTAAAATTTTAAGGCAATTTATATTGATTTAGTCATCAAAATCACAAAAATGGTAAAAGACCGTAAAAATATCAGATTTTCTCTAAATTTTTTAGTAAATTGGATAAAAATTAGTGTGAGAATGCTACGAACAACAATTTCAGCTGCTCTTTTTTGCATAAAATATTAGAATTTTAGCTGAAAATGTCAAATTTGACCAAAAAATGGCAAAATTTGAGATTTTTTGACCTGAAATACGGTAAAATCAATGATAAATCATTGATTTCGAACAGAGGTATCATTTTACTACCATAAATTTTATTACTATAGGTTGGTTTGCCCATAAAAATAAACTTTTTATATTATCCATGACATTTTTTGGAAAAAATCGTAAAAATTTGGCAAAAAAACCTGTAAAACAACAGAAATTAGGGGGTTTAGGGGTTCAAAATTATGTAAAAAATATTTTGCCAACAATTTTACGCCCGGCTGACCTCAAAAGTCATGTCAAATCCCATCAAAATCGGGGCGGTTTCCGCCAAAAAAGCGGCCAAAACAAAATTGCTCAAAAAAATTCGAATTCGATCAGCCTCGGGGCATTATCATGCGACCCGCTTTGCAGCCCGAGGGCCCCTCATTTTTCAACTCACCCCGGCTCATCGGATCGGCGCCGCTCGGCCACAGGTTTGGCCATACGCATCGGACGGTCGAGTATAATATAATAGCGATAAATGGGTGGGTGGAGGATGAGTAATACGAAGAGGCGGAGGTAAATGAGCTGAAAGGAGTGTGGAGTAAAATTTGGGGGAGAAAAAATGATTTTTTTTGGAAATAAACGCTGCACGGTGCGGAAAAGACGAAAGTAAAAATTTGCACTGTGCAAAAAAATGAAAGCGTGACTGCACGGTGCGAAAAAGGGAAAAGTAAAAATCTGCACTGTGCGCAGAAGTTTGGGGGAATTTTGCACAGTGCAAAGGAGAAAAGGACTCCGCACGGTGCAAAATAAACCTTTTTTGGAATTTTTTGCACTGTGCAGGACATTTTGAGGACCTTGCGATAACCTTGCACTGTGCAAAAGCGACAAGATGACTGCACGGTGCGAAAAGACGAAGGTAAAAATCTGCACTGTGCAACAGATTTTTGAAAATTTGCACGGTGCAAAAGCGACAAAACTGATTGCACGGTGCGAATTTGAGAAGTTTGCACGGTGCGGGGCACGTCAAGAAAAAATAAAAGAAAAACGGGCGTCCAATGAAAAAGCCTAGAATTTTTTTTGGCATTCTGACCTGTGCAAATTCGTTTTTGTCCAAATGGTTTGCAATATTTTGACATAAAGATTAATAGTAAATCACAAGATATTGGTACCAATAGAAAGCTCGAGAGTTGCTTAAGCTAATAGAACCAAAATATACCCATAATCATAGTGTTTTGATAGTCTTCCAAGGCGAAGAATACAGCGTCTAAATAAAAGTTTGTATCGACGATACCGAGTCAGAGAGCACTGGATGGGGGTATAGGCTCTACGTCAAAAAAATCCTTAAACTGTTCTTCGAGTATCTACACCGGTCTCGTCCCGGTTGATGGGACAGTTTTTTTGATATTCGGCCATGAAATTTGCACTATTTTTAGCCTAGCTTGAACCGTGTTCAGAAAATGCGTCACGATGACACCCATTTAGAATGTGCCAGCGGTATAAAAAACAGTTGTATACGACTACCAGTACTCTCTAGAGTTCCCATAAAAAAAATTAGGTTAAACATTGTTGTTATGTGCGATTTGGATGACAGATTTTATGAATTTTTTTTCGCTGTGAGAACCTTTGCAATGCCCGAGATTTCTTGACGTGCGGGGAAGATTGGAAATTTTGCACTGCGCAAAAAATGAAAGCGTGACTGCACCGTGCGAAAAAGGGAAAAGTAAAAATCTGCACAGTGCGCGCAAGTTTGGGGAAATTTTGCACAGTGCAAAGGAAAAAAGGGTTCCGCACGGCGCAAAATAAACGTTTTTTGGATTTTTTGCACTGTGCAGAAAATTTCAGAGACGTTGCACTGTGCAAAAGCGACAAGATGACTGCACCGTGCGGAATTTTGGCAGACTGCACTGTGCAACAGATTTTCAAAGTTTCGCACAGTGCAAAAGCGACAAAAGATTGCATGGTGCGTATTTGAGAAGTTTGCACGGTGCGGCGAGGATTGGAAAATTTGCACTGTGCAAAAAATGAAAGCGTGACTGCACGGTGCGAAAAAGGGAAAAGTCGAATCTGCACTGTGCGGAAGTTTGGGGGAAATTTTGCACAGTGCAAAAGCGACAAAACTGATTGCACGGTGCAAAAGTGACTGCACTGTGCGGAAAAAAATGAAAATCTGCACTGTGCAAAAAAAATGTCATTGCACTGTGCGAAAAAAATTGAAAGCCTGCACTGTGCGGGAATGACCAAAATTTTGCACAGCACCAAAAATAAAAAAAAATTAAAATTGAAAAAAAACCGCCAAAATTAAGAAAAAATATTTTGCACAGTGCAGAATTTTAAAATTTTGTATCCTCTGCACCGTGCAGATCACAAACGCCTCCTCGGCCGCCTTTCATAACCCTGCTCGGAAACGAAATTTGCATCAATTTCGCGGCCCTCCAAAGACGAAGAAATATTTCTCTTTATGGCCCCAAATATTTGCCAAATGCGCGTGTCCCATCCGAAGAAATTTTGGCGGAAACCAACTTTTCCTCGGCCCCTCACCCTTAAACCCCTCAGGGGAACAGCGGGGAGAAAAAAGAGGTTTAAGGAATGTTATACACGATGTTATGAAGAGCCGCCCTTCCTTTTCGCCGCACCGAGCTTAGACGCCCCACCGCCACAAGAGCGAAATTAACGATGACATCTTGAGTAAATGAGGGGAAACGGGATTTTTTGGACAAAGGGTTTGCAGAAAAGGGCTTGGGGGATTTCATTGAGCACAAAAATTGGGACAAAGTCAGCACAGGGCAAAAAAAGTAGACCTAAAAATATCGCACAGTGAAAAAAATGGAACTGAAAATTCCGCACAGTGCAGAAAATTAGACCTAAAAATATTGCACAGTGCAAAAAAGTAAATCTAAAAATATCGCACAGTGCAAAAAATTAGACATAAAAATTTTGCACAGTGCAAGAAAAAGACAGTAAAAATATCGCACAGTGCAAGAAAAAGAAAGTAAAAATATTGCACAGTGAGAAAAGATTGACCTAAAAATATTGCACAGTGCAAGAAAAAGACAGTAAAAATATCGCACAGTGCAAGAAAAAGAAAGTAAAAATATTGCACAGTGCGAAAAAATTGACCTAAAAATGTCGCACAGTGCAAGAAAATCGACCTAAAAATATTGCACAGTGCAAGAAAATCAGCCTAAAAATATTGCACAGTGCCAAAAATCGACCTAAAAATATTGCACAGTGCCAAAAATAGATCTAAAAATATCGCACAGTGCAAAAAAGAATTGCCAAAATTTTGCACAGTGCAAGAAAATCAGCCTAAAAATATTGCACAGTGCCAAAAATAGATCTAAAAATATCGCACAGTGCAAAAAATGGAACCCAAAATTTCGCACAGTGCAAAAAAGAATTGCCAAAATTTTGCACAGTGCAAGAAAATCAACCTAAAAATATTGCACTGTGCCAAAAATAGATCTAAAAATATCGCACAGTGCAAAAAATGGAACCCAAAATTTCGCACAGTGCAAAAAAGAATTGCCAAAATTTTGCACAGTGCAAGAAAATCAACCTAAAAATATTGCACTGTGCAAAAAAATAACTTCAAAGTTTTGCACAGTGCGAAAAATATCCAATATTTTTCTGCACTGTGCGACATTCAAGAAAAAATCGGCACAGTGCAAAATAAAAAAATTTTGAAAATTTCCAAAATGAAAAAGCACGAAATTTGACACTCTTGCCAACAATTTCTTCTCGCCTTTTCGCCTTTTGTCATAATCGAGCGCCAGTGTTTACGCGACTTTTTTTTCGTTCGAACCAGATGGTCATGAATATTTAATCTTGTTTCTCGCCAGCGGAAAATTATAACCAAATTATGAGAGGCGAGAAATAGACGGGATTGGAGAGAAATTTTTAAAATTTGACAAAAAAAAATTTTTTTTTTTTTTGATTTTTCGGCGAAAAAATTTTTGGTTCAAAAAATGTAAACAAACAAAGTTTTGTTGATTTTCGGCCAGAAAAAGACAGTAAATCCTCAGAGATGGCGATGATTTCTCCCATGACTTCTAATTCCAGACGAATCGTGGGAAAATTGGGTCAGAATTTATGGAAATTAGCTGGAAATGACCTCAAATTTGGCGAAAAAATAAATAAAAAATAGTGCTCTTTCATTTTGATTAAATTTGCGACACATTTAGAGTGTTTTTTTATGAGATTTTTAGGAAAAATTGAGATTTTTTGAAAAAAAAAAGATAAAAAATTTTTTTTTCCGATTTTTAAATTGAAAAATTGGCAATTAATTCGAATTGCTGAGTAAAATTTTTCCACCAAAAATCAATTTTTCACCCCGGAAATTCGCAGAGATCTCGGCCGAAAACCTTTCTTTTCTCTAACCGTCTCCTCTTTTTCCATTATCTCTCGAAAAATCTCACAAAAAGCCTTGATGAAAACCGCCGTATTTTACAAAAAATATCTCCGAAAAATGTAGGGAAGAATTCGGCTCGAAAACAAAGCTGAAAGACCCAGAAAACCCCACCAAATTCCAACAAAAAAAAGCGGCCGAAATAACGGCCGTAACAAAGGAGGAGGACAAATCTGTAAAAGAATGTCAAAATTAGGACAAAGGACGCGGAATTTTTATGATTCCGGGGGAAAAATATTGCGCGGCCGAACGGAAAAAGGGAAAAAAAGTGGCGGCCGAAAAATTTTTTAGTTTAAATATAGCGGCCGAAGAAAATTTATGAGGAAATGGCCCTAAACAAAAAGTTTTTGACATTTTTGAGGTAAAAAAGTTGCGCGGCCGAGCGGCCGAAAGTTAGAAAATTGTAAAAAACGGTTTTAGTTTAGCGGCCGAAACTAAAATTGTTAAAAAATTTCATATTCAGAGCCCAAAACTTGAGTTTTTTTGGTTTTCCACCTCGAAAAATTGCGCGGCCGAGCGGCCGAAACTTACAAGGGAATTACTCCAAGTGCGACGCTCAGATTTTGATGATTTTTCGAAAACTTGGCACAAATTTAGAATAATTTTTTCTAAAGTATATGCGAGAATCCTAGCTCGCGCTTTGCAGAAACAACCGAGATTTTTAGATCGAAAGTCGGCCAAAATTTAGGACTTTTTGCGGAATTTCGGCACGAAAAGTTTCATGCCCATTTCTATCCTAAAAAATAATTTTTCTACAAAAAATCAAATTTTTCCGCACAACTGCCAAAGTTATGGCCAAAAAGCCCTTTCTGACCGCTCTCCACGTTTAGCGTGCTCTCTCGGCGGCAAAATCGTTCGATATTTCGGCGACGCCCGCAAAGCGCGAGCTAAAACTTTCAGGAATTGATACTTAGTCCATGCCCGACGTATGTGCAAAATTTAAAGAAAATCTGAGCGTCGCACTTGGAGTACTTCCCCTGTTAAAAAAAAACTGCCAACTTCAAAAAAAAATATCTACTAATATAGCGGCCGAACCTTGTTTTTGAGAAAATGGACCCTAAACAAAAAGTTTTCACCATTTTTTAGGTGAAAAAGTTGCGCGGCCGAGCGGCCGAAACTTAAAAAACTGCCAAATTCAAAAAAAAATATCTTAAAATATCTTCTACTCTAGCGGCCGAAACAAATCCGTCGGAAAAATGTCATATTCCGAGCCCAAAACGCGAGCTTTTTTCGCCTTCCCGAAAAAGTTGCGCGGCCGAAGAACGAAAAGAAAGAGAAGGCGCCCGGAAGTGGGTCCGCTGAAGGGGGAGAAAGCGTCCCTCCCCCCTGTTCTAACATGTTAGCGGGAGCGCCACTTTTTCTCCCCTTCCCTTCCCTTCCACCCATTTCGGCCCTGAGGGCATTCCGAGTGGACAGACGCGTTTCGGGCCGCGATTCCGGCCGAATAGGTTGGAGGGAAAGGCGACCGGGATGTGCCTGGCTTTGAACCGCATCCGATTAGCCAAATGGCCGAGCGGATTAGGCGTCGCATAGCGGGGATTAGTGAGGATTTGCGGGAAAAATCGGGGAAAAAGGCGTATTTTAGAGGGAAAAGTCGTATTTTAGCGGGAAAAGTCGTATTTTAGCGGGAAAAGTCATATTTTAGCGGTAAAAAGTCGTATTTTAGCGGGAAAAAGTCGTATTTTAGCGGGAAAAAGTCGTATTTTAGAGGGAAAAGTCGTATTTTAGAGGGAAAAGTCGTATTTTAGCGGTAAAAAGTCGTATTTTAGTGGTAAAAAGTCGTATTTTAGCGGGAAAAGTCGTATTTTAGCGGTAAAAAGTCGTATTTTAGCGGAAAAAGTCGTATTTTAGCGGGAAAAGTCGTATTTTAGAGGTAAAAGCCGTATTTTAGCGGGAAAAAGTCGTATTTTAGCGGAAAAAGTCGTATTTTAGCGGAAAAAGTCGTATTTTAGCGGAAAAAGTCGTATTTTAGAGGGAAAAGTCGTATTTAGAGGAGAAATAGCTCTTCAAAAAAATTAAAAAAGACATTTTCAAAACTTCTACAGCAAATTGTCGCATTTTACAGCCCAAAAATCGCGAATTTGATTCGTATTTTAGCGGGAAATTCGTATTTTAGAGGGAAAATCCGAATTTTAGCGGGAAAAGCCGTATTTTAGAGGAAAAATAGCTCTTCAAAAAAAAATGAAAAAGACATTTTCAAGAATTCTACAGCGAATTGTCGTATTTTACACCCAAAAATCGCGAATTTGATTCGTATTTTAGAGGGAAAAGTCGTATTTTAGCGGGAAATTCGTATTTTAGAGGAAAAATAGCTCTTCAAAAAAATTGAAAAATATATTTTCAAAACTTCTACAGCAAATGTCGTATTTTACAGCCCAAAAATCGCGAATTTGACCCATAAATTACCTTATTTTAGCCAATTTTGGTCAATTTATAAAATTTTTTTTGGTTTTTGAAATAAAACATGCTTTTTTAAGAATGTAAATACGATTTAATAATAGCGAAAAAAAGTAAACAACGTATTTTACATCAAAAAATTGAGAATAACCACTAAAATTACCGTATTTTAGACAAAATTTCACCATTTTTCCTATTTTTTGCGGAATTCAAAAAATAAAAGTCGTATTTTAGGTAATAAACAGGTGAATTACAAATCAATTTTATAGTGAACTTGCGTATTTTACCTCAAAAAATTGTTATCACCTCTAAATTTCTCGCTATTTTAGTTAAAATCAGTTCTTTTTCCACAATTTTTTCAGTTTTCAGGTAAAATTTGAATTTTAGAGGGAGAAAAAAGAAGGTTCAAGAAATTTTATCCTGTTTATGACCTTCTGCTGCCCTTTGCCTTCGGAAATTTTACGATTAATATAGGTAATTTGATATGGCTCATAAAAAATTTTCGTTTTTTGTCCCGGAAAAATTTCTCTGAAACTTTTAAGGCTGTAAAAGTTTCATTGAAAGGAGAGAAAAACGTATTTTACCATTCTAACATCGAAAAAATTCAAAAAATTCGATCAAAATCTCAAAAAATAATAAAAAAAATTTTTTTTAAATATCGCACTTGCGACGCTCAGATTTTCTTAAAATTTTGGCCACAAATTTGCCATAGGCCACACATCAATTCCTGAAAATTTCAGCTCGCAATTTGCCGGGAGAGCCGAGATATTCAACGATCCTTTTTGACGAGAGAGTACGCAAAAGGCGGAGAGCGGTCAGAGAAAAACCACTTTTTCGGCTATATCTCTGCCCGTTTCGCAGGGAAAAAGTTGATTTTTTGTGGAAATATTCTACTCTACGGTAGAAATAAGCATGAAACTTTTCATGAAAAAATTCGCAAAAAAATTATCGTATTTTAGGCAACTTTCGAGCTAAAAATCCCCAAAAAAACAAAAAAAAGTCCCAAATTTTTTTTACAATATTGTTCACAGTGCAATTGGGAAATTGAAAATATAAAATTTAATTTTTTAATACCATAAAACCAATAAAAGTTTAATCCGAAATTGCAAAAAAAAGCAAAAAAAAAATTAAATTTTTACTATACTCGTATATACGTACTGCCTAAGGAAACAAAATAAATCTACTCGAAAATTATTTTTCATGACATTCTCTTTGGATTTTCGGGATTTTTTGGATTTAAAAAACCTTTTTTCGAAATTTTATTAGTTTGTCGGGAAAATAATGTGGACTTTTCGCACTCTAAAATCATTGTTTTGCGATATTTTTGATGAAGATTTGATGCTCGACTGCCAGAAATTTTGCTGCGACAATCCACAAAATCCACACTATTTTCCCGACAAACTGCTAACACCGCCAAAAAAAACTTTTTTTTCATCCAAAAAATCCCAAAAACCCCAAAGAAATCTCCCTGAAACTGGGCTCGGTCATAACGAGCGTACTTTTAATGTGCCGACAAATTCGAAAGATCTCATTTGTTCGCGCTTTGGCCCTTCCCCCTCGCCCTCTCTTTTCGGCCTTTCCCCTGAGGGCATTCCGCTTCCCATTCGGCGGGCTTGACCAATTCAATGTGTAAGAGTATCTCCATTTCACTCTTTCGATATTTGTTTACATTGCGCACATTGGCGGGCGACGAATTGTTGGGTAAGTTTATAAAGTAGTACTAAATAAATTGGAGGCGGAAAATACGCAAAGGAAGTGATGAAAATACGAATATCTAAATTCTGTCGGGAAAATAGTGAGCTCTGTTGCTGTCGACAAAATTAATTGTATCGCGACAGAACCAAATTGCTTTCCACATCAGCGAACAGAAAAAAAAGTTGGAAAAAACTTGAAGATTTTGAAAAATTGCCTGAGGCGATTAACTTCAAATTTTGTGAAAATCATCTACATGGACTACAGATCAATCGCTGAAAGTTTAAGCTTCAGCCTTGCACGGAGAGCCGAGATATTCAACGATCTTTGAAGAAAGATTTTAAAGAAAAAAATAAAAAAAATGGAAAAAAATCGAAGATTTTGAAAAATTGCCTGAGGCGATTGACTTCAAATTTTCTGGAGATCATCTACATGGACTGTAGATCAATCGTTGAAAGTTTAAGCTTGAGTCTTGCACGGAGAGCCGAGATATTCAACGATTTTTCAAGACGGGTGACTATGGGAAAAGAGGAGAGACAAAATGTTTACAATTTATTCGAATTTATACTCAAAATAGGATAACTCAACAAATTAGACTTCCAAAAACTCAAACCGCCTTGCATGTTTGTTCTTGTGGTTTGAATTTAAAATATGCTCGTGACATCTCGATGACGGACTTCTCTTCGTCGGCATGTACGAGGCACAGCGCACCTGAAATTTATTCCGATATTACAAAATATCAGCCTGAGGCAACGTCGCTGCGCCAATCGCGTCGCTGATGTGGAAGCTAATTTGGTTTTGTCGCGACAAAATTCATTTTCTCGGCGGCGATGCGATTTTCGATGCGACAGAGTGGTCATTATTTTCCCGACAGACTGTTAAAAATTTGGGCTGTTTTTGACCCAAAGGAAGGTCTGAAATTTCTTGTTACATATACCAAAATTTACAATCACAATAGTAAGCGCGTTGCTGTGATTTTTTTTTGTATTTTTTTGCGCGATTCCCATCTTTCGCAGCGACAAATCATCATTTTTTGCAGAGTTTAACAGAATTCGGAGACTCGATAAAGGGCTTTCGGCTAGTACTGTCATCAGTGTGTCGGGAAAATAATGCGGGCACGTCGCGTTGAAGCTTTCAGCCAGCGTTCTATGCGAATAATATACGATAAGTTGAGGCTTACCGCCGGGAGTTTCCTGATACCAAAAGTGCCGTCTCTCTCTTTCCAACACGTAGAAGAAGTTGTCGCCCAGACGATTGAACGCACAAGGCTCCTCACACCTCTGCACAAACTGTATGATCGGCTGATCTTCAACAATCGACAACGTCTGAACATTGGTTTTTACGCGGAGTCAATGTAAAGCCCACCTTCAGTCTCTTCTCTCCCTCTTCTTCCACCATGATAAGGAACGTGTCCCTGTTCAGTTGCTGTCGCCGGTAGCTGGACACCCTCTGCATTTGGATACTCTCCCCATTTATCGTGCCGAGTATCGTACCGTAGCCGGCATCGCTGAAGACGAGTGTATTGTGATGAAGGGTTTTCCAAGAGCCCTGGAAAAATTCCTCTTTGCATAGAATGGGGACAAGGGCAAACTAGGTGGGTACAGAGTCTCTTATTGTCGATTTTCGGATTCTGGCATGCGCTAGAAGCTGCTAATTTTTGAAAGAGGGCGTGAAAAATTTGGAAAAAATTGCCAAAAAATGTTTTTTTATTTATGAATTTTCAAATTTCGCGCCAAATTTAAAAATAAAAAAAATGAATTTTTATAAAACATTTTTTTAGGATTGTCAAAATTTTTACTTTGCTTTTTATTCGTTTTTTGAATTTGCGAAAATTCATAAAATTTCACGTTTTTAATCCATATTTTTTCAAGTCATTTGCTTCTCACATCAATTTACAATGGGCAAATTGATATCCCGGTCATCCCCTTGAAAAAATTTTTTTCTCCTCAAAGGGCGAAACGTTTCCATTCCACCCGAAAAAGCTATACGGAATTTATTTCTGTCCCAATCTTTTTTGGCGCCCCCTGTAGGACATATAAGAGTGGTGCTTTATATTATTCCAAAAAAGTTTCAAACCTACTTCATTTTTGGCCTACATGAAAATTTTCGTTTTTTTCAACCAAGGCAAAAAAAAATATTTTTTTGGCATAGGCGATTTTTTTCATGTGGGCCAAAAATTTTTTATTTGTTTTGGGCATAGGTCGTTTTTTTCATGTATCAGTCTGTCGGGAAAATAACGGCGGGTCGTCGCATCAAAATGACTCGCCTCACCGCAATCGCGCACCAAATCTCCAGCTGTGGCCGCCGTCGCAACGCGATGATGGGCGATTCCGAGGCGCGACCATCCACCGTTATTTTCCCGACAGACTGATATGCCTAAAAAAATTTTTTTCGCCCACATGAAAAAAAAGCACATATGCCAAGAAAAAATAAAACAAAAATTTTTTAGCCCACATGAAATTTTTTCACGTAGGCAGACGACATTTTGAAGTAGGCCACAAAATTTCATGTAGGCCAAAAATGAAGTAAGTTTGTAACTTTTTGGAATAATATAAAGCCCCACTCTTATATGTATACGTATGTATTTTAAAAAACCATTGGAAATACTCACAAGACCCATATAATTGCACTCTGTAATAAAATGAGATTTCGTTTCCATGTCATAGCAGACAATAGTAGGTGGGTTACGAACCACAGACAACAAGAGTTTGCCATTTCCCACGATCAGATCTGTCACCATCCTGTGCGGGAAGTTCCACACAAATTCGGCGTCGCTACCGTCGAGAAGACTCTGCCGATAGACGTCTGCCTCGTGTCGCGCGTGTGGCTTGAGATAATAGACGCGATTCTCCTCGTCGAATGCCACGCTGCCCACGATGGGATCGATCTGAAAGGGCAGTCCGGTGACCGGAATAGACTCTTCGCTATCGGTTTTTTACGTTTCATCTTGTTTTCCAGAGAAAGAGAGGAAAAGGACACGCAAAAGCGCACTCTCTCGCCCCAAAAAATCCCCATTTCTTCCCCGACAAAACGTTTTTTCGCGTCTTTTTTGGGCAAATGGCCAATCCATTCACTGGACTGTTTTAGCTTATCTCAGTTTGACGTGGGCCGCTTTTCACTCAATAAATCACTTGAACTCGAGCTTCTCGTCTTATCGTGTAGTTGTCCCCCGGGCCTCTCGACCGTAAGCCAACCACACCTTGCACAAACGTAAAGCAAGGTAAAAAAAGTCTACCTCAAAACTCGTCGTGCAAAATTGGTCGTTGTCTTTGATCTCAGCGTCATGACGGCTGGCTAGGGTGAAGGTCCAATGCCCTGCATTGTTCGAAAAAATGTGTTCGCTGTCGCGGACGTAAAGTCGAAGGCTTTCTCGGCTTTGGGGAAGTGGCACGCGGAAAGTTAGGCGACGTGGATCACCCCCCGCGTGTACTTTCTTATTCGTATGCTGTAGGTGATACAGCTTGCCTGCTGTGAGATCGACTCTGCGGTCGTCGACCAGGTGCCAAAAGTTGTAGCCGGACAACCGCAGATTCTTTAGGGATTTCAGATATCTGTAAAAAAAGGTACGAGGTATCCAGAGACACGATAAAAACAACTGAAAACAACTTTGGGCATAATGCTGAAAAGGGAATCCAAAATTTCCGAAGCCCGGTAGTTTGACGTCATTTTTTTAACATTATTAAATTCCTGCTTACGATCTCAATGCAAGTCCCCGATTTGAATCCATACCATCTTTTGGGCGAATGTTGTTCTGTTGGCACACATTTTTTAACGTGGCAACATATTTGGAATCGCAGCCATCCAGGAGATCTGCGACAAACGGAAGAGGGGTTTTGTCAAAGATATTGTGTCTCAGCTGAAACAAATTCGGTTGAACGTCTTATCAACCAAAATTTTTACAAACTAAAGCGATTCCGACGGCACTGTGTAAAACGAAAAATTCACTTTGTTCCGGACGGACTTGTATACGATAGCACCAAAAAATGTAATGAATATGCAATGAACTTACCTCCAGCGGAACTTTCTTCAACAATGCTATTATCATGAACTCAGTCTGAAAAAAAAGAAATCAAATTTTCATCACTCTCTTGTAATCAATTTTAAGTCGTTTTTGCAGTTTCCCTCACAAAAAGAGTGGGGCGCGCTTTTTAAACCGGAGTTTTTTCGCTTGGAGAGGGAAGCATTTTGCCACATTTTTGACACTTCCCCGATGCAAAATGGTAGGTTTTTTGCCATTGGATCAGGTCCCCGCACTATAAGAAGTCGAAGCCTTGACGGAGCTCCTGCCTCGCGTTAATCAAGAAAAGAGCAGCGTCTGACTATGCTTGCTTTCAAATGTTGCGATTTTTGCTCGCATTTTGTGAACTTGGAGCATATAGACCTAATTTTTAAACATATAGATCAAACTTTTACCTGAATACAAATCGGTTCGACGTCCTTTTTGACACTAAGATCATGCCTATTGACTGGGGTGCCGTGCCATCCCCCGAAGTAGTTACCCCAATCCAGTTTTCCCCTGCTGATGTAATGCTTCTTTTTCCCGCTAGGGAGTTTCACTCGGAAGGCGAGGCGTTGTGGAAACCCCTCTACATCATCTGGCACACGATGAAGGTAATAGAGCTTGTCTTCCGTGAGCTGAAGAAATGTTTCATCGATGTTTGTCAGGTCAAGCTGTCCCGACAAATTCATGGCTTCCAAAGATCTGTAAAAAATTAAAATTTCACATAAAAACAGCGCGTGAAAGAAGCTTATGTATCGCGTTAAAAATTTGCATAAAATGTTTCCTATTAACAGTGTTCAAGTTTGGAGGAAACCCTACGTTAGAGGTGTTGTTCTGGTGCCTTGTACTGCTATTTTCACCTTGTACTATATATAGTAACAGGTAGTACTAAATAGCACCAAGTCTTTAAAACGTGTTTTTAAAGAGTACTAAGCATCAAAACAACACCATTTTAACGGCCATTAACGTCAAAAGCCATATTTTCACCTCGTATTACATAGTATCAGATAGTACTATATAACATGATTTTCGAAATCAGCACCATCGATTATCGTAATTTCGACATTTTCATCAAAGAAAAATAATACTTTTCGGTTTCCCCAATCGTCCAACTCCGTCAACGGAGGCATTCTTCTTGACGCTTGCCTAATCAGAGCAGAGCTAGAGCCCGTCCACTGACTCTGGTTTTGACGGTCGTTTTGCTAGAGCGTCTATTGCCGGGTTAGAGTTGCGCAAACAACGCTGCCATTCTTGCAGAAGCGTCATAGCGTCTTTGAGTCAGGGTAACAAAAAAAAGATAATTTCAGACCTTCTTTGGGTTAAAAACAGCCCAAAATAACAGTCTGTCGGAAAAATAATGACCACTCTGTCGCATCGAAAATCGCATCGCCACCGAGAAAATGAATATTGTCGCGACCAAACCAAATTGCCTTAAACATCAGCGATGTGATTGGCGAAGCACCGTTGCCTCAAAATTTTCCCGACGGGCTGGTATTTTGTAGTATCGGAATAAATTTCAAGTGCGCTGTGCCTCGTACATACCGACGAAGAGAAGTGTATCATCGAGATGTCAGGAGGATATTTTGGCGTCGACTTCAAACCACAAGAACAAACATGCAAGGCGTTTTGATTTTTTGGAAGTCTAATTTGTTGAGTTATCCTATTTTGAGTATAAATTCGAATAAATTGTAAACATTTTGTCTCTCCTCTTTTTAAATAGTCTCTCGTCTTCAAAGATCGTTGAATATCTCGGCTCTCCGTGCAAGACTCAAGCTTAAACTTTCAACGATTGATCTACAGTCCATGTAGATGATTTTCACAAAATTTGAAGTAAATCGCCTCAGGAAATTTTTCAAAATCTTCAAGTTTTTTACAATTTTTTTATTATTTTTTTCTTTTAAATCTTGCAAAATTTGAATCAACACTTCTGAAGACTACAAACCAAGAGTGACTCTCCAGTTTTCGACCAAAATTTCGCCGACCAACTGCACTTTGCCGGAAGTTTTTTGGTTTTTTTGGCCCAATTACCTGTCGGTCTTCGCGAAAAAAGATGACATCATCTTTCGAGGAAACGAAAAACGTTTGCAAATCGTTTATTCCGCACGATAAACGATGGTGTTGGCTGGTAGAGTTGGGAAAGATTATATTTTTGCGGATTTTTTTTAAATTTTATTGAGAAAATTTTGATATTTTGAGTAGAAAAATATAGTTTTTAATAATGAAAATATTTTTTAAAACAATTTTAGGTTGTAAAGTACGCATAGATATGCAGTTTCATTCTCAATTTTGTTTTTTTCTCAATTTTTTTCCTGAATTTCTATTTTAATATAATTTTTTCAGCAAAAAAACAGGGTTTGGAAGGTAAAATGCAAAGATTCATCAAGGGTAATGTTCGATTCTTATAATTTTTTGTCCATTTTTTGCAAAAATTCTTATTTTTTTGCCCTAAAAACCTAACAAGATCGAAAATTTCAGGTGTCTTGCAACTTGTAGTGGTTGAAATCAATATGAAAATAATGTAAAATACGCTGTGTGAAGTTTAGAATGTGATTTTTGATTTAAAAATTTTCCTAAAAAATTTTCAAAAAATCAAAAAAGTTGAAAAATTTAATTTTTTTGACATTTTTAAGTATTTCCAAAACCTCAAAAATATTTATCATTGTAAAATACGTCCTCTTCCGCAGGTTCTAGCAATTTTTTTTTGAAATTCCCTATGATTTTTTCATTTTCCATTTTTCCCAATTTATCGTATAAAATGTCGCCTGACAAAGCAGTTTCCCATCCATTTTGGGAACTTTGTCCGAAAAGATTATAGAATTAACTCGTCTTTTCTTTGCCCATCAACGCTAACTCGGGTTGAAGTCGGTTCTCGGAGGCCCTAAAAAAGTGGGCGGAGCTTATTGAATTAGGCTGCGGTTGCAAAATTGAATTTGAAACTGCTGATCAAACATCTTGTGCAGTGGTTCTGATTGCTTATGAGCACGTGAAAATTTGTTTTTTTTTATTTTTGTATTTTTAAATTTCGCGCCAAATTTTAAAGAAAATTTTTGAATTTTTACAAAAAATTTTTTTTAGGATTGTCAAAATTTTTACTTTGTGTTTTATTCATTTTTTCTCAATTTCCTAAATGCGAAGTTTTTTTTTTTTTGTTTTCGCACAGTGCAATTTTTTCTCGACATTTCGCACAGTGCAGAAGCGCAAAAAAAAATAATTTTTTTTTATTTGAGTGAGTTTTTTACACACAATTTTTCAATTTATTCATTTTCCTTCTAGACGTTATGCACTGTGCAAACTTTTTACTTTTTTTGCACAGTGCAGACGAAAAACATTTCAAAAAAAAATTTGGACAGTGCATTCTGTGACCTCAAAAAATTTTTCGCACAGTGCGAAAAAAATTTTAAAAAAAAGTATTTTTTTTTGATTTTCAACCAGAGAAGAGTTTTTACACACTTTTTTTTTCATTCATCTCTACACATTTCGCACTGTGCGGATTATTTGCTTTTTTTGCACAGTGCAGACAAAAAAAAGATTTCCAAGAAATATTTGCACAGTGCAAAATTTTATTGTCAACATTTCGCACAGTGACCTTCAAAACATTTGTTCCTTAATTTTTTGCACAGTGCAAAATTTCCATCACGACGTTTTGCACAGTGCAGATTATTTACTTTTTTTGCACAGTGCAGACGAAGAAAGTTCCAAAAAATCGCACTGTGCGAAGATTGTTTTTGAATTTTTGCACTGTGCAAAATTTTATTGTCGACATTTCGCACAGTGCAGTTTCAAACCTTTGTTCCTTCATTTTTTGCACTGTGCAAAATTTTATTGTCAACATTTCGCACAGTGCAGACAAAAAAGATTTCCAAAAAAATTCGCACAGTGCAAAGTTTCTGCTCTTTTTTCGCACAGTGCAAAATTTTTTCTTTCCGTTTCGCACAGTGCAGACAGAAAGAAGTTTCAAAACAATTTGCACAGTGCGAAGTTTCTGTTTTCTCTTTTCGCACAGTTTAAATTTTTTTCTCACCATTTCGCACAGTGCAGTGACTTTCAAAACATTTGTTCCTTCAATTTTTGCACTGTGCAAAATTTTATTCTTAACATTTCGCACAGTGCAGAGAAAAAGAAGTTTCAAAACAATTTGCACAGTGCGAAGTTTGTTTTTCAGTTTTTGCACAGTGCAAAATTTTTCCTCACCATTTCGCACAGTGCAGTGACTTCAAAACTTTTTCGCACAGTGCAAAAAAAAATTTTATGTTTTTTTAAATTTCTGATGCTGCGATTCGACTGCACTTTACTTTCACATATCCCACGTATTTTTTCCCATCTCTAGCGACCTCTAAAGGTTCATGTAAACAGAGAAAAAACATCCAGATTTCCGTTCTTACTTTGAGATATCAAAATTTGACCTCGTTTACCGACGAAAAGCCACGTCGCAAGTGAAGAAAAGAGTGTGGGACATCTCGTGGCCTGAGGGTAATTCCATTTAATGGGTAATTGTTTTCTGATACGCGAGTTTCGCCGGCTTTTTTGCGGTTTTTTGGACTTTTTGAGACAAAAAATGGGGATTTTTGGGAATTCCATCGTATTTTAGAGAGCGAAAATATTTTCAGATTGTAAAATACGGCAATTGTGATATCTGGGAACTTAATTTCGCCATTTTTTCACCAATTTTTTCGTCATGGATAATATAATTTTTTAAAATTTTTTGCGATTTTTGTCAAAAAATATTATTATTGGGCATAGAAAAGTCTGTGCTACTTTTAAAATACGGTTTACTTTGGTATCTTGTCATCAAAAGTCCGAATTTTGCGATTTTCCCTCGATTTTCCGCCTATATAAATCATCATTTTCCCCCAAAAAATCGCAATTTTTCCAACCATCTCCTCATGTACAATATCGCCGTATCGACGGCACGTAATTTCTCCCCGCCCCACCTTCCTTTCGGCCCGCAAAAGCCCTCGGGGCGAGGGGCTTTGGCCGCTTCTGCCCTCATGTTCTCTTTTTCCGGCACCGGCGAAATTGGAGGCCAAAAAAAGCCGAGTAATGGTCGCGAGGAGAGGGGGGAAGGAGGGGAGAAAAAACTAGTAATTCGGCTTTTTCGGGCATGCCCTGCGGGGATTTGGGGCTGGTCAATACAGGCTTTTGTGTCCGAAAACCCGGCCCGACTTCTTGCCGCTTCTTCGCCGCCGTGCTGACTTTTTCCCCGCCGTTTCGGGGCCCCCACGGAAGGCAGGCGCAAAGCCACGGCGGCCTCGGCTCGCGAGACGCGTGGGGATTTTGATGGGTTTATGGCATTGAGGGAATATTATATTGCACATGGTATTAGTGGGGGGCACGCGGAAGAAGTGTTAATATCGCAAGATTTTGTGGATGGATTGTGGAGATCGTGGTCTTAAAATACTCTCAACTTATTGTGGCTTCATTTAAAAGTTGTCTTGGCCTAAAATACGCTCTAATTTTTTCGAAAAATTCAGTTTTTCTCTCGATTTTACAAAAAAATGGAGGGCATGCGAAAGAAGTGTTAATATCGCAAGATTTGGGGGATGGATTGTGGAGATCGCGGCCTTGAAATACCTCTCAGCTTATTGTGGCTTCACTTAAAAGTCATTTTGGCCTAAAACACGGTTCAAATTTTCCGAAAAATTCAGTTTTTTCCTTGATTTTACCAAAAATCTTTATTTTCTTTTAATTT